ATGCTGGGAGGTTCCTGTGGATGGGATTTCTTTCACTAGCATCATGCCCGGGGCCTTAGAACGTTACCAGGCACACAGTGTACACCAATAAATATTTGTTGGAGGAGGAAGGTGCTGCCCTAAACTGTGAAGCCTTGACGGTAAAGACCTGCCAGGTCTGACTGAGCTGAATTCCTATGTGAAGGTTGGTGTCGGGGCCCACAGTACAGAACAGGCTCATGAATGCGGAATGAGCAGGAGAGGCTTGTGGGAGAAGAGGGCTGATGATCAGTTCATTCTGACCTGGTCTGAGAGGTCCTGTTTTGTGGGGGTTTTGTGACGGGAAAGGCAGGGAGTATATATTCCAAAGCAGTGGTGGGATGCCCAAACCATAATGGCTATCCATGTGTGTCTTTATTTCCTTTACATTTTAGTGAGAAATTCTACTATTTGATTTTTTTTTTTTTTCTTTTTTGAGATAGTATCTCGTTCTGTTGCCCAGGCTGGAGTGCAGTGGCGCAATCTCGGCTCACCGCAACCTCCACCTCCCAGCTTCAAGCAATTCTCCTGCCTCAGCCTCCTGAGTAGCTGGGATTACAGGCACTGCCACCACACCTGGCTAATTTTTGTATTTTTAGTAGAGACGAGGTTTCACCGTGTTGGTCAGGCTGGTCTTGATCTCCTGACCTTGTGATCCGCCTGCCTCGGCTTCCCAAAGTGCTGGGATTACAGGAGTGAGCTGCCATGCCCGTTCTTGGTAACTTTTAAGAGATAGGATAGTAGCATTATGAATACATTAATAATACCATGTTAATAATTCCACATTTAATGATTGGTTTGGCCAGCTAATTAAAATTTTCTAAGTAGAATTTCATTTTATTTTCATCCTACTGAGGTAAATAAAGCTAGAAAATGGTAAAATTTTAAAAACCTTTTTTTTTTAACCATTTCAGAATCTCAGTTGCAAGAACTCTCTGAAGTGCTTGAACTCCTTTCTGCTCCTGAACTGAAATCCCTGGCCAAGACCTTCCACTTGCTGAATCCCAGTGGACAGAAACAGCAGCTGGTGGACAGCTTTCTCAAATTGGCCAAACAGCGTTCAGTCTGCACTTGGGGCAAGAATACGCCTGGAATTGGTGCAGTGATTTTAAAAAGGTTCTGTTGGCTATCATTATAGTAAAACAATTTAAAATGTTGATAGCACTTAATGACCTATAATAGATTGTATACGTGAGTGAACTGTAATTGTACGCTGCGGCTGCAGTTAGATTGAGAAGGCTGAAAAAGCCGTAACTGTGATAGCCTGGGTTCTTTCTTCCGTTACTATACAACATCTTTGTTATAACACTGTACTGATTTCCAGGACCAAGAAAAATCGAAAGGCAATAGGCCTCTGGTAAATTCTAGTATTTTATTTTCCAAGAAAAATACAGTTTTAAGTGATTCTTACAGGATTTTAGACTAAACTATTCAGTCACATTTTTATTATAGTTAAGTTTTTGTTTACTAAACAAAGTATAATCAGGCAGTCTTAATGTGCAAATTTTCCTGAGTTTAAACACAGCAGTTTACCAAAACTGTTGGTGGTTTCTTTTGTCCTTGAGAAGCCCTTGAACTAATTTGAAAATTACACAAACTTTTAGAATTGATTTATTTTGCCCATGATATCAACTTTAGTCTGGGAATTCACTACTCTGGAGTCATTGAGGATGAAATGAGAGGATGCTTTTGAAAACACTTTAAAATGAAGTTAGTTATTTTATATATTTCTTTTGTATATTCAATTGTTATGAGCCCATCCTTGCTGAGGTACTATAAATACTAATCTTTAATAAAACTTAGGTACAGTAAGGCAGACATTAAGAAAAACATCAATACCAACACTTCAAAAAGGTTTATATTGTAGATTTTTAAAAAATGCTCTAATTACTTATTTGTGATTAACTGACTTGAGAAGTATGGAATCCTTATCCATGTGATAAGTTAAATGTCTTCTAAGTCCTTTGTCTAATTTTATTTCTTAAGTATTTGATGTTAACCTTATATGTAACATTTTGTGGGCAAGTACACATTAAAATTAGCAGCCCTCTGACTGGGCATGGTGGCTCATGCCTGTAATCCCAGCACATCGAGAGGCTGAGGCAGGCAGATCATGAGGTCAGGAATTAGAGACCAGCCTGGCCAATATGGTGAAACCCCATCTCTACTAAAAATACAAAAATTAGCCGGGCGTGGTGGTGTGTGTCTAATCCCAGCTACTCAGGAGACTTGAGACAGGGTTGCAGTGAGCTGAGATTGCACCACTGCACTCCAGCTTGACTCCTATCTCAAAAAAAAAAAAAAAAAAAAAAAAAAATTAGCAGCCCTCTCTTGGTATATGTATTTAGCATAGAACAGATAAAATAAATAAGATGAACATATTTTGTCATTGACTATGGACTTCTAGGAAAATAGAATCCTCAAGGCGGTTTTAATTTTAGTAAAAACCACTGTCTAGTTTGTCCTTTATTTCTTCATTTTGATGTAAAGCCCAGCAGTGGAATTTCTGAGTCCCTGGCAGCCCATGTCAGGACAGTGCCTGGTGCTCTTTCTCTGCTGTTATCGTAAAGAAACAGAAAAAACGCACATTATTACAGAAAAAGGCACATTATTTACGCTTTCTTAATCCTTGCAGGAGTCCCTGCTTAGTTTTCTCCGTTTGATGCTTCACAGCCTGGAGGCTGTGTCCACTGGGAGCATCCCTGGGATTCTGCCTGGAGGTAGATCAAGTGGGCACTTTGGGGCACTCTGCAGATGAGTGGCTCTCAGTTCAGTGGTGGTATAATAAGAATCCCACCCCTTCCCCTTCAACTCCGTGGTGGTGATACTCATCTCTCCCATGCCCTCAGGGATGCAGTGCTGCTTTTGGCTTAATAGCTTCTGCACCAGGAGGGTGTGACATCTTTCACGAGGCCAGTGGTTCTCAACTGGGGGCATCTGGCATCATTTGGAGACATTTCTGGTTGTCAGTACTGGAGGTGGTGATACTGATGGCATCTAGTGACTAGAGGCCAGGGACACTACTGAGCATCCTATAATTTACAAGACAGCCCCTGACAACCAAGAATTATTTGGCCTAAATGTCAATAGTGCTGAAGCTGAAAAACCCTGCTTTCGATGGTGTCTAAGCTGCTAGAGTCAGAGGGCCCACAGGATCCTGGATTTAATTCAGACCTCCAAGCCTACCTTGCAGATACCAGAGTTGAACTGAATTCACTCCAGTGTTAACGTAGAATAGATATGCTGCTGGACTACTCTATACACTAGAGCAGGGGTCTCCAAGACCCAGGCCGCAGACTGGTAACTGCCCATTGCCTGTTAGGAACTGGGTGGCACAGCAGGAGGTGAGCAGTGTGCCAGCAGCCATGACTGCCTGGGCTCCGCCTCTTGTCAGATCAGCAGTGGCATTAGATTCTCATAGGAGCATGAACCCAATTGTGAATTGCACTTTTGAGGGATCTGCGTTGGGCATTCCTTATGAGAATCTGAGGTGGAAGGGTTTCAACCCAAAGCACCTCCCCCAAACCCAGTCCATGGAAAGGTTCTCTTCCATGAAATCACTCTCAGTGCCAAAATCGTTGACTGCTGCACTGGAGAACAGCACCAAACTTTGGTGTATACGTTTGTACCACGTCTTGGTACACAAAATCTGATGTTTTACCCAGAGCCTATGATGATGACATTTTAAATAAACACCATTATTTAAATCATCACTTGAATCGTGAAACCCTGTCTTTAAAAAAAAAAAAAACATTTGGTTTTTGTGCTCCCAGGTCTTCGGAAAAAAAGAAAAGACAAAATATTACTTAGGATTTTGATACCTTTTGTGATTTATCTCCCCTTTTGGGCTGTGAGCTTCATGAAGGACACGTATATATGTGGTGTGTGGTGTGTGAGGGTATGATAGGTGTGTGGTGTATTGGGTGTGTGTGAGGCGGGCGTGGTATATATGTGGTGTGAGAGGTGAGTATGTGTTGTGTGGTGTGTATGGGGTATGTGTGTTAGGTATAATGTATGGTGTGTTTGAGGTGGGCATGGTATGTGTGGTGTGTGTGTGGTGTATATGGGTTAAGGGTGTAGGGTGTGTGAGGTGGGCATGGTGTATATGTGGTATGTGGTATATGACGTGGGTATGACGTGTGTTGTGTGTGGTGTGTATGGGGTATGTGTGTGAGGTGGGTATGATAAGTCTGGTGTGTGAGTGAGGTGGGGATATGTATGTGCTGTGTGTGTGGTGTGTATGGGTTAAGTATCGGGTGTGTGACGGCATGGTATATATGTTGTGTGTGTTGCGGGAAGTGGGTATTTGTGGGGTGTGTGAGGTGGGCATGGGATATGTGGTGTACATGGGTTAAGTGTGGGGTATGTGAGGTGGGCATGGTATCTGGGGTGTGTGACGTTGGCATGGTATATATGTTGTGTGTGTTGCGTGAAGTGGGTATGTGTGTGTTGTGTGTGGGGTGTGAGGTGGGTATGATATGTGTGGTGTGTGTGAGGTGGACATGGCATGTGTGTGGTGTGTTTGCTGTATATGGGTTAAGTGTGTGGCGTGTAAGAGGTGGGCATAATGTACATGTGGTCTGTGATGCAGGTACGTGTATTGTGTATGGTGTGTACGGGGTATGTGTGTGAGGGTATGCATGTATGTGGGGTGTGTGTGGTGTACATGAGTTAGGTGTGTGGTGTGTATGGGGTACGTGTGTGGTGTATGTGAGGTGGGTAGGTATGTTGTGTGTGGTGGGTATGGGGTATGTGTGTGTGGTGCGTGTGAGGTGAGCATAGCATGTGTGTAGTGTGAGGGGTATGATATGTGTGTGGTGTGCATGGGGTATGGGTGTGGTGTGTGTCAGGTGAGCATAGCATGTGTGTAGTGTGAGAGGGGTATGATATGTGTGTGGTGTGCATGGGGTATGGGTGTGGTGTGTGTGAGGTAGGCATGGTACGTGTGTGGTGCGTGTACGTATGCACACACATGCATACCTGTGCACTGCAGATGACAGGCAGGCCAGCAGCCCGGGACATGCAACAGTGACCAGCTCAGCCAAGGTAGGGCTGGGGGCAGGAGTGGCCAGGCCCCTGGCAGCTCAGGATCTTGGATGCACTAAGAGCCTAGAAGGAGAGAACAAGCTGTGTCACCATCTGCACCCAAGTTCATCACTTAACATAAACCTCTAAGAAGCACTGAAACTGTTCCACTTCTGATTAGAACCAGAAACACTCCAGATGGGCAGAAGCTGGAGAGAGCGGCAGGGAATAGCCACTAGCGAGATTCTGTGACTCCATTCATCACCACCACCACCCCCCACCAATACCCCACTACCCCCAACCCCCAATCCCAGATTGAAGAGTCATCTTCATGATCTCCCTGATGGCAAAATGCCAGAAAGACTTACCGAGGGGCCTGAAGATGCCTTCAGTTCTCCAGGTCCTGAACTCTTCCAGTCACAGGAGTCCTGGCAATCCCGAGGTTTCCTGAGTGTTCCTTATTCCTGAGCTCCTCTGAGATTTCCACTTTCCTCATTTTCATCTAAATTTAACTACATCTAACTACCTCTGCTAACCAGACATTTGTTCATAGTGGACAGAGTTTCTCGAAATGCTGTGTGGTTATCTTGCAGATGACTACAGTTATCTAAAAATAACTAAGATTCTACTAGCTATACTGGAACAGAACTATTCTGGAACAAATTACCCCAAAATGTATTGGTTTAAAAAACCAAACATTTGGCCGCGTGCGGTGGCTCACACCTGTAATCCCAACACTTTGGGAGGCTGAGGTGGGCGGATCACCTGAGGTCAGGAGTTCGAGACCAGCCTGACCAATTTTCGTGAAACCCTGTCTTAAAAAAAAAAATTTGGTTTTTGTGTTCCTAGGTCTTCAGAAAAAAAGAAAAGACAAAATATGACTTAGAATTTTGATACCTTTTGTGGTTTATCTCCCCTGTTGGGCTGTGAGCTTCATGAAGGCAGTGGTTATATATGATTCCTGAGTGACCACAGTTCCCAGAACGATCTTAAGTATAGACCGTTACCAGTAAATATCCATTGGAAAATGCACCCTATGTGTGTTGAAGGAATGGTGGAATTGACATCAAATGTATCTTCCACATTAGCTCTATGGCTGGTAATTCTAAGCGTTTTATAGTCCATCACAAAATGTTCTGTTCTTTTTCTCAATTGCACTGAATCCACAGAGTAGACAGGCACATTTTCTTTTTTTTTGAGACGGAGTTTCGCTCTTGTTACTCAGGCTGGAGTGCAATGGCGTGATCTCGGCTCACTGCAACCTCCGCCTCCTGGGTTCAGGCAATTCTCCTGCCTCAGCCTCCTGAGTAGCTGGGATTACAGGCACGCGCCACCATGCCCAGCTAATTTTTTGTATTTTTAGTAGAGACGGGGTTTCACCATGTTGACCAGGATGGTCTCGATCTCTTGACCTCGTGATCCACCCGCCTTGGCCTCCTAAAGTGTTGGGATTACAGGCTTGAGCCACCGCGCCCGGCCGACAGGCACATTTTCTTCACTTTAAGGAAAGGCGTTACTATTTTTTAGCTAGGGGCCAGCCCAAAGTGACCTCTGGCTCTCACAGGAGACCCAGGAGCTCCCAGTTTACAGCCCAATAGCACATTTCCCAGAATACTTGGCGCCTCGCCCGCCTCCTCTGGCTACCAGCCAGACAGAAGGGGACGTCCTGGGAGTCTGATGCCAAGGGAAGGAGGCGGAACGTCTGTTTTCTACTCTGGGCTTCTGCTGGACCCTTCTTATGTCCAGTTAGAGTCGGCCTGGGACCTCGCCGCGCAAACACCCAGCAGGCTCCGGCCGCCGAGATGGGGTGGAAGGATGGGCAGAAGAGAGGCCGCAAAGGCCAAAGGGCTGAGCTGCTCCGTGCTGGGGAGGGGCGATGTGCCAGAGGGCGGGAGACCTCGCTGTGGGCACAAGGCTGCTCAGAGGTGGGCGTGGGAGGCCAGAAGATCCGCATCTGCAGATCCCACACTGGGGGAACAACATTTAGATCCCTCCGCAACAAACAGGCGGTTCCCGGGGCGGTAGCTCGAGAATTGGGTTTAGTACTTGTCAACCCTTCAAACTGTGCATCCACGGCTGCGAGTCCTTTGAGGTCTTGCTCAGGACTATGTTTCCCAGAAGGCTCGGCGGTAATTGACAGCTGTGTCAGCCTATGGACAGAGAAGAATTCTAGTTATGGAAACTGAACAGCCAATAGCAAGAGGACAGGGGCGGTATGTTCCGGCTGCGGCTGGGGAAGCTGGAGTCCCACCTGTGTCCCCCACAGCTCTGTCACGAATCCCGGTCGGGTTCTGGGAGGGACCGCCTCGCGGTGGCGGGCCGGGTGCTGCTCGGCGGTGGAGGCCTCACTTCCTGCTCCATCCCCGGCTGGGCCCTGGGGCGGTGAGTGATCCCGGGAGGGAGACGGCGGCGGCCGCGGCGTGCTGCTGAGGGGCGTGGAGGGGGCTTACCTGCCACCCCGACGTTTTCTCAGCCGGGTTCCCGGCCTGGCCTTTGGGAGCCCCCGGGTCTTGCTGGGGTGCGGGAGAGGTAGCCGCGGTCTCTTTCCCATCGTTGGGTTAAGTCACTCTCCGTCGGCTTCCTGGCTTCTCGGCGGTGGTCTCGGGTTTCAGCTGACCTTTGTGACCCTCTAACCGCAGCACTCGGGTTCCGGCCTCAGCGCCGAGAAAAAGGGGGTCGGCCCCCCCGCGTGCGGTCACGTTCCTATTAATAAACCCGGTGTACGCGCTGCACCTTCTCACAGTGGCGCTTAGTCACAGCCCCTGAGCGCTGGGGGCCTTTGGGGTCACCTGTGCATGGGGAAGGGGGCGGGCCCGGAAATAGGGCTGCTATGACCGAGGCTCAGAAGTCTTCCCGGGGCGCTGCTCCCGCAAGTGACCTTTCGGCTGTGTTTGGTCATGAATATAGAAATAAATATTATACTCACAACTGTTTTGTTTTGTTTTCGAGATGGGGTCTCGCTCTGTCGCCCAGGCTGGAGTGCAGTGGCCCGATCTCGGCTCTCTGCAACCTCTGCCTCCCAGGTTCAAGCGATTCTCTTGCTCTCCGTCTCCTGGGTAGCTGGCATTACAGGCACGTGCCACCACACCCGCTTAATTTTCGTGTTTTTAGTAGAGACCGGATTTCGGTTGATCTCGAACTCTTGACCTCATGATCCGCCAGCCTCGGCCTCCCAAAGTGCCGGGATTACAGGCGTGAGCCATTGCGCCCGGCCATTACTCAAAACTCTTATTAGAATTTCTACTTTTGAATTACATTATGGTTGTTAAAGTTTTAAACCAGAGAGATGGTTTTTAGATCCTTAAAAACTCAATACTTTATAAATGACCTGACCGATGATCATGTCTGTAAATACATAAATATTCCCCCTGAAAGTGTGTGTGTGTGGTGCTTTGTTTGTGGTGGGACAAAAGGTGTGAAAGAGTAAAACTTCTTCACCCCATTCTGGTCCTTCCTCCTCTGAAATGCAATATTCTTTGTAGCAGGTGGTCATGCTGGCTGTTTTTTGTTTTGTTTTTATGGAGAGACAAGGGTTCACTCTGCTACTAGGCTCACCGCAGCCTTGCTTGACCTCCTGGGCTCAAGTGATCCTCCCACCTCAGCCTCCTGAGTAGCTGGGACCACAGTTGCGTGCCACCACACCTGGCTGATTTTTCAAAGTTCTTTGTAGAGAAAAGGGTCTCATTATGTGCTGAGGCTGGTGTATTAGAAACTTTTTAAAGGAAAAAAACAGGATCTTAATTTCTTTGTGACTCCTATGCCTAGCAACATATTGATTGCTGAATAAATGACTGATCCATCCAGTAATCGACTGACAATCCTCCAAAAAGTAACTTCTTTGTGATACTGTCAGCTTATTAATATATGAATGGTTGGTTTCGGCTCCTAAGAATTGTGTTTTGTGCTTATCCCCATTGACTTTCACTTATTTTTACAACCTATCCATGTCTATTTTTTTTTAAATTCCATATATTTTTCAGTCTTATTTCTGACTCCATTAAAATCTTAAAATAGAATGGCGTCCAACACAGTTTCCTTTGGAGTTCTGCATAATCTGTCCCTTGAGATTGTCCCCAGATCTGCAAGCCAAGAAGTGAGCTATTCTCATAACTAATATGAGTATAGTTAAGTCCGCGACTTCCTAGCTTGCTGAGGAAAATGCAGCTGGAGAGAATCAAAAGCTCTCCAGAAATCAAATTATACCTGCCAATTCTCTCCTTTGTCTACCTTGCTCATTGTGGACAGTTTGTTCCTCAAAAAGTTAATGTATCTAAAAGACTAGCTTCTGTCTATGTGTTTGGGAGGCCTAGGTCTCTGTTAGTAATGGGAAAGTTGGCCAGGAGAAGACGTATGTAAAAACAGACAGAAAAGCAACCCGCTGTGGTTGACAGAATTTACCTCAGGATGATTCTGGTCAGGGGTAGGGCGTTGTTTCTGTACACTGGTGGCCGTTTTTTTGGCTTTCACATGGTGGTGAGAATAGGGAGCTACTGATGCATATTGAGCTCTCTTGCTTCAGGAACTGATGACCCTCAATGATGTGGCTGGGGACTTCTGGGAAGAGTGGGTTACCTGGACACTGCTTAGAGAATCCTCTTCAGGGATGCCACCCAGCACAGTTAGAAGAATGGGCCATCAAAGGGTAAGAATGCTACTTTCCTTTATTTTATGTATTTATTTTGTTTTTCTGAGATGGGGGCTGTCTCTGTCATCCAGGCAGTGGCGAAATCTCAATTCACTGCAACCTGTGCCTCCCGAGCTCAAGAGATTCTCCCACCTCAACCTCCTGAGTAGCTGGGATCACAAGCATGTGCCATCATGCCCACCTAATGTTTTGTATTTTTAGTAAAGACAGAACTTTGCTGTGTTGGCCAGGCTGGTCTCAAACTCCTAAGCTCAAGTAATCAACATGACTCAGCCTCCTAAAAGTGCTGGGATTACCGGTGCCACCACGCCTGGCCTCTACTCTCCTTTAATTTGAGACATAGATACTTTGAGAGGGCCAGGGTCTGAGTGGTCTCTGGTGTGTTGGTGTCTTAGAGCTCCAGACCTCTGTAAGATTAATTGTTGCCTCCTTGGCAGAAAAAGAATAACTTCTTTATGCATTTTATGGTTGCAGATGTCTTAGCTATTTATTGTCTTTTTAATATCTCACCTAAACTTTTTGATATATGTATTACTATCCTCCTTTTCCAGCCTGGGTTGGACTCTCACCTCTGCCACTTAACTTCTGAGGTCTTTGTGGAAAAGGAGGTAGTTTTTTTCTGTCACTTAAAAACAAACAAACACCTCCAAGGCTCTTTCTCAAAAACAATGGCTACCCTTCCTCCTGCTTTACTTCTTTTGTGTGTGTGTGTGTGTCTAAGTCTTGCTCTGTCACCCAGGCTGGAGTGTCATGGCATGATCTGAGCTCACTGCAACCTCCGCCTCCTGGGTTCAAGCAATTCCTGGATAATTTTTTGTATTTTTAGTAGAGATGGGGTTTTGCCATGTTGGCCAGGCTAGTCTTGAACTCCTGACCTCAAGTGATCCACCCACCTTGGCCTCCCAAAGTACTGGGATTACAGGCATGAGCGACCGTGCCCGGCCCTAATTTTTTGTGTTCTTAGTAGAGTCGAGGTTTCACCATGTTGGCCAGGGTGGTCTCAAATTCTTGACTTCAGGTGATCTGCTGGTCTTGGCCTCCCCAAGTGCTAGGATTAGAGGCGTGAGCCACTGTGCCTGGCCTACTTCATCTATTTTACAAGTAATGTATACTCATTAAAGAAAAAGACAAGCAAAATGAAAACAAACGCCATCCTGAATCCTACCATTGAAGAGTTACTATCCTACCAGCATTTTTCTTTTTTTTTGAGGCAGAGTTAACACTCCTGTTACCATCCAGCATTTTTCTAATCATTTATACAATTTTAAAACAAGCACATAAGAATAATATTGGGATTATACTGTACAGTCAGCTGTACATTCTACTTTCTTCCATGTTGTGAGCATATTTTGAAAATAATAAATTCTTTACATCACTTAAAATAACCACCTAGTATTTTGTTTTATGGAATACAGTATTATTTTGTTGATGAAGTCAAACATTAGATTGAACCATATATCTGACCATTTTTTACCTAAATAGCAATTGTCTGTAGTTCTAGCTACTTGGAGGCTGAGGCAGAAGGATCCCTTGGCCCAGGAGTTTGAGGCTGCAGTGAGTTATATAATTATTGCTTTGTTGTGAGGCTGGAGTGGAATGGCACGATCTTGGCTCACTGCAACCTCCGCCTCCTGGGTTCAGGCAATTCTCCTGCCTCAGCCTCCGGAGTAGCTGGGATTACAGGCACGCACCACTGTGTCCAGCTAATTTTTTGTATTTTTACGGGAGACGGGGTTTCACCATGTTGACCAGGAAGGTCTCGATCTCTTGACCTCGTGATTCACCTGCCTCGGCCTCCCAAAGTGCTGGGATTACAGGCGTGAGCCACTGCGCCCAGTCTAGCTTATTTTTTTAAAGTATTTTTAATTGAAATATAATTTTATCATTTCCTTAGAATTCTCAGAATTAGAATTGCTAGGTCAAAGTATAGATACATTTCTAAGGTATTTAATACTTTGCAAAATACCTTCCAAGAAGATTGAATCAATTGATTTATTCCCATTAGCATAATATGAAAGTATCTTTCACAGTGGCTATGATAATTTAAGTCTGGGGCTGGCTATGATGCCTCGCACCTGTAATCCCAGCACTTTGGGAGGCTGAAGCAGGAGGATCAGTTGAGCTCAGGAGTTCCAAGACCAGCCTGGGCAACATAATGAGACCATGTCTATACAAAAATTGCATTCGCCAGGTGTAGGGGCTTGTGCCTGTGGTCCCAGCTACTTGGGAGGCTGAAGTGAGAGAATCACTTGAGCCAGGAGCTTGAGGATGCAGTGAACTGTGATTGTACCAGTGCTCTCCAGCCTGGGTTTCAGAGCAAGAGCCCGTCTCACAAACAAATACACACAAAAAACACAAAAAAAGAGCCTGGGAAAAATGGCAAATAGCAGTGATAGTTAACATTTATTGAAGTCTTTTTTTTTAAATTTTGATTTTGGAGACAGAGTCTTACTCGAGACAGAGTCTTACTCTGTCGCCCAGGCTGGAGTGCAGTGGCACAATCTTGGCTCACTGTAACCTCCGCCTCCCAGTTTCAAGCAATTCTCCTGCCTCAGCCTCCAGAGTAGCTCGGATTACAGGTGTGCATCACCACACCTGGCTAATTTTTGCATTTTTAGTAGAGACAGGGTTTCTCCATGTTGGCCAGGCTGTTCTTGATCTCCTGGCCTCAGGTGATCCACCTGCCTTGGCCTCCCAAACTGCTGGGATTACAGCTGTGAGCTACTGCACCTGGCCAATGCATCTTATTCTTATCCCTATCTTATTGATGAAGACATTGAAACACTGAGGTTAAGTAACTTTCTCGAGGCCACACAGCTTGTAAGAGGCAAGATTATGCGTCACACCCAGGCAGTGTGACCCTTGAGGCCCCACAGCTTGTAAGAGGCAAGATTATGCGTCACACCCAGGCAGTGTGACCCTTGAGGCCCCACAGCTTGTAAGAGGCAAGATTATGCATCACACCCAGGCAGTGTGACCCTTGTGTTTGCACTCATTACCTCTACACTGTATTGCCTCCGTGTACCATTGTCGTAACTTGAATTTCTTTTATTATAGAGAGGTTAAGCATTTTTCATACATTTACAGGCTACTTAACAAGCGTTTGTCTTTTTCTCATGGCGTCTTTGACTGCTACCACTCTGTGAAAATTTTAAAGCCCAACTTTATAGTTAACTTCCTTCATTCTTTCTAAGGGTGAGGTCACGGCAGCTCTGTTTCTGATAAAATCCTCTCTATATTTAGCTTTAGACTTATACAGAAATAGTTATTGTGTTTACTTCAGACTTTCTGTCACCTGAGTCTTTTTTTTTTTAATAAAATGAAAGGGGCTTTTTCTTTTCAGCTTTTGGGGAAATCACCCTGTTTTATCACTTTACCACGGCTGCACTTTTAATGAGACCAAATACACGTTAGAGCTCCCGGGGTCTTCCCTACCTAGGCATGGGGTAGGGCTTGGATTTTGGTCAGGCCTCATGTGACTGGCTCAGACTCACATCCTGTGCTTACATTCCTGTGTAGAATTTCTAGACCTAGTGTAGTCTCCCAGCTGGAGCAGAAAGAAGAGGCATGGGTTCTACCACTCCAAAACTCTGAGGCGAGGAAGATCCTGAGGGAAAGCCACACAGGTGAGATGCGAGTGCTCCCAGTGGAAGGAAAGCTAGCATTTCAGCCTTGTTGAGATGAAGAATTTGGAATGCTGCCCTACACTTTTCTTCTTATAGCAGACATTTAAATTGGACTCAGTGGTCGGTAGTTGACTAAATAAAGTCTTCATTTTTTTTTGAGACAGAGTTTCGCTCTTGTTACCCAGGCTGGAGTGCAATGGCGCGATCTCGGCTCATCGCAATCTCTGCCCCCTGGGTTCAGGCAATTCTCCTGCCTCAGCTTCATGAGTAACTGGGATTACAGGCACGCGCCACCATGCCCAGCTAATTTTTTGTATTTTTAGTAGAGACGGGATTTCACTATGTTGACCAGAATGGTCTCGATCTCTTGACCTCGTGATCCACCCGCCTCGGCCTCCCAAAGTGCTGGGATTACAGGCTTGAGCCACCACGCCCGGCTAAAGTCTTCATTTTCATTAAGCATTTCACTTTTGTCTAACCTGTAACTTATTTATTTATTTATTTATTTATTTGAGACAGAGTCTCCCTCTGCCTCCCAGGCTGGAGTGCAGTGACACAATCTTGGCTCACTGCAACCTCCGCCTCTCAGGTTCAAGCAATTCTCCTGCCTCCCCCTCCTGAATAGCTGGGACTATAGGCATCTGCCACCATGTCCAGCTAATTTTTGTATTTTTAGTAGAGATGGGGTTTTACCACGTTGGCCAGGCTGGTCTCAAACTCCTGACGTTAAACGATCTGCCTGCCTCAGCCTTCCAGAGTGCTGGAATTACAAACGTGAGCCACCACACCTGGCCTAAACCTAAAATATCTTCGAAAGAAAAAGTGCCCAATATTGACAATATGTGGTCTCCTCTTGAAGGATATCAAGATTCATCTGGCCATCTCAAAATTTACAAAGTTTAGGAATTCACATGTTCTGAAAGCTCAATGAACTTCAACAAACTTTTCACAAAGCAAAAAGCAGAGCGGTTGAATTAAGTGCAGTCTGCTGCAGAAACAGCAATTTTAGTCTTTCTCACTGCTTTCTGATATTCCTTCCTGATAACTGATAACTTCATTCTCTGTTACTTACATTAATTTTTCAGACTTTGAGCATCAGGTGGCAAAGCTTGATCGGGACATTTCTGAAACAGCAGAACAATATGGAACATCCTCAGAAAGGAATAATAAAGATCTCTCATAGTCTTCGTTGGGGAGGAAACTGGGAGAGAGGCCTAGAATTAGAAGAGCAACATGGAACCCTTACAGGAGAGGGCCAGCTGGAGCCCTTTTCACAGGAGAGGGATTTAAACAAGCTCCTGGATGGATATGTAGGACAGAAGCCCATGTGTGGAGAATGCGGGAAAAGCTTTAACCAGAGTTCCTATCTCATAAGACACCTACGAACCCATACTGGCGAGAGGCCCTATACATGCATAGAGTGTGGGAAAGGCTTCAAACAGAGCTCAGACCTTGTCACCCATCGCAGAACACATACAGGAGAGAAGCCTTACCAATGCAAGGGGTGTGAGAAAAAGTTCAGCGACAGCTCAACACTCATCAAACATCAGAGAACCCACACAGGGGAGAGACCCTACGAGTGCGCAGAGTGTGGGAAGACTTTTGGGCGGAGGCCGCATCTCGTAATGCACCAACGAACCCACACAGGCGAGAAGCCCTACACATGCCTGGAATGTCACAAAAGCTTCAGTCGAAGCTCAAATTTCATCACCCACCAGAGGACCCACACAGGTGTGAAGCCTTACAATTGTAATGACTGTGGGGAGAGTTTTAGCCAGAGCTCAGATTTGATTAAGCACCAACGAACCCATACGGGAGAACGGCCCTTCCAGTGCCCGGAGTGCAGGAAGGGCTTCAGAGATAGTTCTCATTTTGTAGCTCACATGAGTACTCATTCAGGAGAAAGGCCTTTCAGTTGTCCCGACTGCCACAAAAGCTTCAGTCAGAGCTCACATTTGGTCACACATCAGAGAACACACACAGGTGAGAGACCTTTTAAGTGCGAAAACTGTGGAAAAGGATTTGCTGACAGCTCCGCCCTCATTAAGCATCAACGGATCCACACAGGAGAAAGACCCTATAAATGTGGAGAGTGTGGGAAGAGCTTCAACCAGAGCTCCCACTGTATCACCCATCAGCGAATTCACTTAGGAAACAGGCCCTATCCATGTCCTGAGTGTGGCAAGACCTTCAATCAGCGCTCCCATTTCCTCACACACCAGAGAACGCACACAGGAGAAAAACCTTTCCACTGTAGTAAATGTGACAAGAGCTTCCGTCAGAAGGCGCATCTTTTATGCCATCAAAACACCCACTTGATTTAGGAAGTAGTCTTCAGTGGTTCCACTGCTCCCTTGCAAATTTTCACTGCTTCTGCCTTTGAGCACCTCACATAGAGAAAACCTGGTAATTAGTCGCTCACTTTGGGCCCTGATCTAGTCTCCCTCTTTCTTTTCTATGTTATAACAGAGAAGATAAACTTAGAGTCCAAATAATGGTCCAAATACAACAGGCATTTCTGACTCTTAGTGAAATGTGAGTTTATTTTTTATTTTTTTACAGATGGGGTTTCACCATATTGGTCAGGCTGGTCTCGAACTCCTGACCTCAGGTGATCCGCCCACCTCAGCGTCCCAAACTGCTGGGATTACAAGTGTGAGCCACCACGCCCAGCTGAAATGTGAGTTTAATAGTTGATGCCAGCCAGGCGTGGTGGCTCACGCCTGTAATCCCAGCACTTTTGGGAGGTCAAGGCAGGTAGATCACTTGAGGTCAGGAGTTCGAGATCAGCCTGGTCAACATGGCAAAACCCCATCTCTACTAAAAATAAAAAAGTTAGCCAGATGTGGTGGCCCATGCCTGTAGTCCCAGTTACTTGGGAGGCTGAAGCAGGAGAATCACTTGAACCCGGGAGGTGTAGGTTGGAGTGAGCCCAGGACTGCACCATTGCACTCCAGCCTGGGCAACAGAGCAAGACTCCATCTCAGCAACAACAAAAAAAGTTGATGCCTAGTTACTAAATGAGAAGTGAGAGCAATGTGGCCTTGAGATCACATGTAAACCACCTAGTACAGTGCCTGGCACAACGTAGAGGCTCAGTAAATAAACGGTCACATGATTATTCATGATTAAAACTTGAGGTCTTAGATAAAGCCTTTAATGCAGTATCTGGCCCTTAAAAGACACTCAATACAAGACTGGAGGCTTTTATCAGTCTTATTACTCAATTAGGAATTTATGAGTATAGTTCCCACACCCCAAGCTCAGAACTTAAAGAAATTAGATTGGCACTAGAAGCTTTAGGGTTGGAAAACATGAATTGAATAAAATGTTAATGCAGTCCCAGTTCAGTGCTGTGCAGGCATTAGTCACCAGATGTCTCACTGCCATGACAAGGCAGAACTACTGAAGAGGATGTCTGCAGTCTTGTGACTAGGAGGCTGAAAGAATTACAGAGGCACCTTGAACAGCAGTGTATGAGGTACTTTCACAGGAGGTTTGCTGTCTGACACGGAAAATACCCTACAATGAACGATCCAGAGGGACCTGGTAGAGGACTGTAGAATTGTGGAAGCAAAATTGCTGAGAATGTCAAATTATATTACAGGGATCCTCCCTGGCGTTTAGCTGAAGGAAGCACCTCTTGTTTTCTTTTGTTGTTTTTTACATGGACCCTCGCTCTGTTGCCAGGCTGGAGTGCAGTGGCGTGATCTCGGCTCACTGCAACCTCTGACTCCCTGGTTCAAGTGAATCTCCTGCCTCAGCTTCCTGAGTAGCTGTGATTACAGGCATGCGCCATCACACCCAGCTAATTTTTTGTATTTTCAGTAGAGATGGGTTTTGCGATGTTGGCAGGATGGTCTCGATCTCCTGACCTCATCATCTGCTCACCTCAGCCTCCCAATGTACTGGGATTACAGCCGTGAGCCACCGCCCCCGGCCAACAATTTTTGTTTTCTAATTTCCTGGGTCATTGGCCATTTAGTTTTAGGTTAATATAATTCTCTGATCCTTTTAGGGCCATTTAGTTTATGTACTAATACATTCCTACATTCAATTGAAATAATTTGAGGGAAGGCAGCGTGTTGGAAAGAACACTGACTTACTTCATTGAGAAGGTGAAGCATTTGAGTCCTTGCCCTGAGACTTTATTTGGCCAGACTTACCTTCTCCCAGCCTCAAGTCACTACCTTACCTACCTCACAGGGTTATTGTGAGGATCTAAAACTGTGCACTCACAAGCACTTTGTTGGTAAACTATAAATGTAATGTCTCTAATGTTACAGTTCTGATGCTAATGTCTTTTTTCGAAGAAAATTTTGGCTAATATTTCTTCAGGTATTCCATTTCTCTCATAGTGAGAGACTTTTTTTTTTAACTGTTGAAGAATTAAGGTTTAAAAATGCTAAATGACATGACTCATCATGGGCCACGTAGTTGACAGAAGAGCCAGACTTGGCTGCAAGTCACTAGATTTCCAGCCTGCAGTCCTCTGCAGCAACAGACCAGTTCTGGGATTTTGACAGTGTCTGTGAGTCACTACAGGACCAGAGGACCCATATGATCTCCATTAAACCAGTCTGAATTTGGAAATGGTGGAGTGTGTCGTCTAAATTATAGGGAGCTTTGCAAGATCCTGTGCTGGCATTCTTGATCCTGGGGGAATGGAAGTGGCTAAGTGCAGGTGCAAGGGGTTAGGGAGGGACCGGGGTGGCTATCACTGTTTAGAGAGCAAAGTGGTGGGTTGAAGGTTTTTTCTTTCATTCTCTTCCATTATATGGAATGCATGTTAGTGTTGTGGCTCATGGAGGATAGCACTCAGCTGATAACCCTATCTCTGTTTCTGAAAGCATCATTGGATAATGGACCAGAAATTTTTTTTAGTTAATCCAGTGCAGTGGTTCTCAAATTGAGAGGCCAGAACTGTAGCATCAGCATCATCTAGGAACTTGTTAGAAATGCAGATTCAGGCAAGGCGCAGTGGCTCTTGCCTGTAATCCCAACACCCTGGGAGCCTAAGGCAGTTGGATCACCTGAGGTCAGGAGTTCATTCAAGACCATCCTGGCCAATATGGTGAAATCCTGTCCCTACTAAAAATATAAAAATTACCCAGGTGTAGTGGCATGTGCCTGTAATCCCAGCTACTTGGGTGGCTGAGGCAGGAGAATGTCTTGAACCCAGGAAGTGGAGGCTGCAATGAGTCGAGATCACACCTGGTCTCAAACTCCTGACCTCAGTTAATCCACCCACCTCAGCCTCCCAAAGTGCTGGGATTACAGGCGTGAGCCACTGATCCCAGCTACCTATCAATTTGTTATTCATGTTCAGCTATCATAAGATGTGAGCTTTTTTTTTTTTTTTTGAGACAAAGTCTTGCTCTGTTGCCCAGACTGGAGTGCAGTGGCATGATCTTAGCTCACTGCAACCTCCGACTCCCAGGTTCAAGCAATTCTCCTGCCTCAGCCTCCCTAGTAGCTGGGATTACAGGCACACACCACCATGCCTGTCTAGTTTTGTATGTTTAGTAGAGATAGAGTTTCATCGTATTGACCAGGTGGCTCTTGAACTCCTGACCTCAGGTGATCCACCTGCCTCCGCCTCCCAAAGTGCTGGGATTACAGGCAAGAGCCACCATGCCTGGCCACCTGTCACTTTGATTTTCATGTTGTTCAGCTATGGTAAAATGTGAACTCTGGAAGCGGAATGTGCGATTTGCTTTGTGGCCCCGCCAGGCCCCTCTCTCCTCCCTTTCTTCCTGCCCATCCTCCCCCAGCCATGAGCAGGGAATATTTCAATGCTATTGCTGGGAGTGGAGGTAACCCTTTCCACAGTTTTCTTTTGTTTCTACCTCATGACTAGAGATTCGCTTCTTGAATGTGCGCCACACATCTGTTCTTTCTCACTCCAAAATTGAGGTCATCATCAAGCCCCATTAATTTTACCTCCCAGATTCCCCTTGAACCTGTCTTGTCACACGCGACCATCTTCCCTGCCACTTTTCAGTCCCAAACAACCAGACTCTCTTACCTGAATTCCTGTAGCAGCCTCCAGACTGATCTTCCTGATACTATTTTTGCTCTGAGAAAACTCACAGAAACCAGAGTGATCTTTTAAAATCCTAAATCGGGCCGGGCTCACACCTGTAATCTCAGCACTTTGGGAGGCTGAGGCAGGCAGATCACCTGAGGTTGGGAGTTTGAGACCAGCCTGACCAACACAGAGAGACCCCGTCTCTACTAAAAATACAAAATTAGCTGGGTGTGGTGACGCATACCTGTAATCCCAGTTACTCGGGAAGCTGAGGCAGGAGAATCGCTTAAACCCGGGAGGCGGAGGTTGCAGTGAGCCGAGGTGCCATTGCACTCCAGCCTGTCCAACAAGAGGAAAACTACATTTCAAATACATAAATAAGTAAAAATAAAATCCTAAATTGAATCGCATTACTTCTCAGCAGCTTTCCATTGCTTTTAGAATGAAGACCCAATCCTTACCCAGCCCTAAGAGACCCTTGTGGTTTTGTTACCTCAGACTCCAGCCTCTTCTGATGTCCCTTTCCCTCTCCCTTGCCTCACTCAGCACTCTTGAATTCTCTGCTCCTTGGTCATGCCAAGGTTGTGCGCTCTTTAGAGCCTTGGTACTAACTGTTCCCTCGGCCTAGAATGTTCCTCATCCAGACCTTTGCATTGCCTCCTACTTGTCAACCAGGTTTCAGCCTAAACTCATATCCTCAGGAAGACCTTCCTGACTATCCCATCTAAATTAGTCACCCTCCATCACATTATCCTTACACCTCCATCAGAGTCCTTACACCTGTCTGATCATTTATTAATTGATTTGTTTTTGGTAAACCCCACAAAAGGTGAGAGTCATTTCTCTTGTTTCCATTCTTTCCATGGCGTTTAAAACAGTGCCTGGCACACGGTGGGTGCTCAAGTAATGCTTACTGGATGGATTGAGTGCATGTCCACAGGCAAGGATCTCGTTGCACTGGAAAAGTAGCAGAGTGAGACAAAACTGGACAAGGGAGCAAAGGTCACACCAAGGAGGTTCTTAGCTGCCCAACTGGGGAGTTTGGATCTTACTCCCTGGGGAAAAGGGTGTGGCTGGTGGTTTTATAGGAGAGGAGAGGCGTGATCAGCACTCAAGAAGGTCAGTTTGGCCACTGGGTATAGGTCATATTACAGAGAAAAAAGCTGAAGGCTTTGAGACAATCTGTGATGTAAAGGGCTTAGCACAGTGCCTGGCATGTAGTGAGTCTCCAGTGAGTCACTGTTAGCAACAAGCTAGGGAAGGCACCACAACAAAAAAAAATCTCTAACCTGTCTTTCACCTCGAAATAATTCTTCCTAGACCCTATCCTCGCATTACTTCTCTGCCCCTTTTGTCAAACTTCCACTCACAGGTATATATTCTCAGGGCTATCATGCCTAGGCCCTTTTAAATAGGACTACCTACCCTAGCATGCTTCTTTAACTGGATGCTCAAAGGTCTTCTAGGGCTGAGCGTGATGGCTCACACCTGTAATCCCAGCACTTTGGGAGGCCAAAGCCAGAGGATGGCTTGAGCCCAGTAGTTCAAGACCAGCCTGGGCAATATAGGCAGACCCTGATTCTACAAAAAATAATTTTAACAAATTAGCCAGGCATGGTGATGTGTGCCTGTAGTCCCAAGTACTTGGGAGGCTGAGGTGGGAGGATTGCGGATTGCCTGACCCTTGGGTGACACGCCAGATTAGGTGACAGAGCTAGACCTTGTCTCTTAAAAAAAAAAAAAATCCAGGCGTGATGGCTCACGCCTGTAATCTCAGCACTTTGGGAGGCCAAGGCAGGCTGGTCATCTGAGGTTGGGAGTTCAAGACCAGCCTGGCTAATATGGTGAAACCCCGCCTCTATTAAAAATACAAAATTAGCCAGGTGTGGTGGCACATGCCTGTAATCCCAGCTACTTGGGAGGCTGAGGTAGGAAAATCACTTGAACCGGGGGGGTGGAATGAGCCAAGATCGTGCCATTGCACTCCAGCCTGGGTAACTAGAGCAAAACTCCTCAAAAAAACCAAAAAAGACTGAATTTCCACATTTGAAGGTCTCTTGTTAGTCTTCCTTTAATTCAACAGCTCTTTACTGTTTGATGCCATTTACATATGTTTTTTATTTTTTACAGATGGGGTCTTGATCTATTGCTGAGGCTGGAGTACCGTGGTACGATCATGGCCCATTGCAGCCTCAACCTCCCAGACTCAAGCCATCCTCCTGTCTCAGCCTCCTGAGTAACAGCTAGGACTACAACCACAAGCCACCAGGCCCAGCCTTTTAAAATTTTTGGTTGAGGCTGGGCACGGTGGCTCATGCCTGTAATCCCAGCACTTTGGCAGGCCGAGACGGGTAGATCACCTGAGGTCAGAAGTTCCAGCCCAGCCTGGCCAACATGGTAAAACCTCTTCTTTACTAAAAATACAAATACTAGCTGGGAGTGATGGTGGGCACCTGTAATCTCAGCTACTCAGGAGGCTGAGACAGGAGAACCCCTTGAACCTGGGAGACAGAAGTTGTAGTGAGCCAAGATCACGCCATTGCACTCCAGCCTGGGTGACAAGAGCGAAAATAAAAAAAATTTTGGTAGAGACAGGGTCCCCTTATGGTGCCCAGGCTCCCAGGCTGGTCTTGAACTCCTGACCTCAAGCAGTCCTTCCACCTTGGCCTCCCAAAGCATTGGCATTACAGGTGTGAGCCACTGCACCAGGCCCATATGACTTTTTAAAAAAATTCTTTTTTCCAGTGGTGATCGTGAGGTTGTGAGATGATTCTCCTACATTTCTGGCTGCTTCTCTTCCAGTACCTTCCCTGGCTCCTCTGTTCCTCTGTTTTGTTTGTTTATTTGTTTTGAGACGAAGTCTTGCTCTGTTGCCCAGGCTGGAGTGCAGCGCCTCAGTCTGAGCTCACCAGTTCACTGCAACCTCTGCCTGCCAGGTTCAAGGGATTCTGGTTCCCCAGTCTCCAGAGACTAGGTATCATTCTATCAAATTCAGAATTTTGACCTAACATAGCTGGATTATTGCCCAGCATGATAAAACTTTTAATTTTTTCATGTTTAACTGAAATTGTTATTTGATAAATGTAAAAGATTACTAATATCTATGTCACAGGTCAGATGCTCTTGGTTATAAATAGGCAACATTTCTTTATAGGCTCGGATGTCCTTTGAGATAAAATGTATTTAAAATTATTATTGAACAGTGTCTCATGTTGAACAACCCAACTAAAACTAAAGACAGTAACTCACACATTTTCAAATTTGAAATCCACTAATTGTTCATCACAATTAATTGTGTATTGTTACTTTGTCACCCAGGCTGGGAGCAATGGTGTGATCATGACTCACTGCAACCTTGACCTCTGGAGCTCAAGTAGTCCTCCCATCTCAGCCCTCCATCACAGCCCCCCAAGTATCTGGGACCGCAGGCATGCACCATCACCTGGCTACTCTTTTAATTTTTGCAGAAATGAGGTCTTTCTGTGTTGTCCAGGCTGGTCTTGAGCTCCTGGCCTCAGGTGATCCTCTGCCTGGGCCTCCCGCAGTGCTGGGATTACAAGCATGAGCCAGTGCACCTGGCCACTTGCATTATTTCTGTGAGAAATCTGTCATTTTTATCTTTGTTTTCCTGTATATTCTGTAATTTTTTTCTTCTGGCCACTTAAAATTTTCTCTTAGATGAACTGGTTGAAGAAATGTGATTATGATGTGCCTCAGTATGGTTTTCTTTAGATTTTTGTGATTACGGTTTGTTGAACTTTTTGGAGCAGTGGGTATATAGTTTTCATCAAATGAAGAAAAATTTCTGCCATTATTTTTTGAAATCTCCCCTTCTCTATCAGAGATCCTGGCTGCATGTATATCCAACCACCTGATGTTCTCTTCATTCATTATTTCCCAATCCTTTAGCCCTGTGTTAATCTTGAATAGTTTCTACTGCTCTGTCTTCATGTTCACTAAGCTTTTCTTCGGCAATTTCTAATCTATCACTTATCCCATCTTACTGTATTTCCAGCTGGTTTTAGAAAAAAAGACCTTTTTACTGAACATGCTTAAATTTACTCTAGTTGGTTATACATAAAGAATAGCATTATAATAACTGCTTCAATGTCCTTCTCTATGATTTTATGATCTACGGCAATTTTCGATCTGTTTTGACTGGTTGTTATTTTCCTAATTAGAGATCATATTCTCCCAATTCTTTGCCTGCCTGGCAATTCGTGGTTCAATGGTAGGCATAGTGAATCGTATCTTGGTGGGTACTAGATATTTGTATTCTTAAAACTATCCTTAAATTTTGTTCTGGTAAGTGAATAAATTTCTTTGAAATATCCCGGGCTCACTTTTAGGATTTTTCGAAAGACCACAGGAGCATTAAGTGTAGGGTAATTTTCTCCACTTCTTAGGCAAACTCTGCTGAGTACTGTAGCCGACACCCCAAGAATAATGAGATTTTTCTTTCTTTAGTTTTATTCTAGTTGCTTTTGGGGCACAAGTGGATTTTAGTTACATGGATCAATTACATTGTGGTGAATTCTGAGATTTTTGTGTACCTGTCACTCAAGTAGTGTTCATTATACCTAATGTGTAGCTTTTTATCCCTATAAACCTTTACATCCTATCCCTTCTGAGTCTTCAAAATCCATTATATCGCTCCATATGTGTTTATGTACTCATAGCTAAGCTTGCACTTACAAGGCAAAACACACGGATTTTGGCTTTCCACTCCTGTGTTACTTCACTTTCAATAAACGGACTTTAGCTCCATCCACGTTGCTACAGAAATCATTATTTTGTCTCTTTTAATAGCTGAGTAGTGTGTGTATATATGTGTGTGTCACATTTTCTTTATCCACTCATTAGTCAGTGGGCACTTAGGTTGATTCCACATCTTTTCAATTGCAAATTGTGCTGCTGTAAACATTCATGTGCAGGTGTGTTTTAGATGGAACGGATTCTTTTCCTTTGTGTAGATGCCCAATAGTGGATTGCTGCATGGAATGGTAGATCTACTCTTTGTCTTTAAGGAACAGCCATACTGTCTTCCACAGGGCCGTACTAATTCACACTCCCACCAGTAGTGTATACGCATTGAGTTTTTAATAATGGCCTTTCTTCAGGAATCATATGGTATCTGAATTATGTGATTTTCCATACATGCTCACGAGGTTAGGCATTATTCTGAGCCCTGAATTTTCTCGGAAGATTGTCGTCTTCAATGCTTTTGGGTAGTTTTACTTTTTACTTGGCATCAGTTAGTTTCCTAATATGAATATGAATACACTGATCAGAGTCAGGGAAGGAGGAGGTCAGTTGTGTGGATAACAGGGGGCCTGTGTGGAGGACATGAGGCAAGAGTGTGAGGCCTGTTTGAGGATGTTGAGATGTGGCAGGTGCTGGAGAACAGTCAGAGGGAGAGACACAGGCCTGCCCAGCAGGCTTTGTATGCCTTCGGGGTCTAAGTCCATGGGAACTTAGGCAGGAATGTGAGAGGATCAGATTTGCTGCCTGCTTTTGGGAAGATGAAAGGGAGGTGTGAACACCCGCTAGGACACTGCTAGATCAATACAATCAAGTTAGTGGGAGAGAAGCAACGATAACTTTGAAGGGAGGGGCCCGCTGGGGTGACTCTGCCTGGAGTAGGCGAAGAGGGGACCTCTAATTCCAGAGACCCATGCTGTACTGGAGAAAGAGCAGGCATGGAGAAAAGGTGATCACCCCCAAACTCATCCCCATGCCCCAGAGTCCCCTGCTGCTGGGATTCTCCCCTCCTCCTCCCAGCCCACCTCTCTCTCCTGGCCTCCAATCTCGTTGCCACCTGCAGGGAAGAAGCACAGGTGGAGGCACAGGCAGAAGGCTCACCCGAGGGCTGCCCTGGGGTCTGTGCAGACCCAAGAGGGAGAGTGTGGAGGGTGTGATGGGCTTCAGGCCAGCCTGGGGGTGTTGGGGTTACTGGCTTTCTTTGGAGAAGAATGCAGCTGCTTGTGGGAAAGATCTTAAGGAGGAAACCAGAACCTCTCCCTGTCCTGAGCTCTCATCCCTGGGGGAGCCTCTTATGACTGAGCCATCCTCCCAGACTCCCAGGGAAAAACCCACATTGGGTTTCACCTTTCAACATCCTTCTTGCCACCCAGTGTGGGGAGGGGGCAGAACTGGCTGAGCAAAGCCATACTCAGCCCCTGCTTAAGGGCTGGTCACTCCAGCTTCCAAATCCTGGGTGGTGCCCAGTGCAGCTGGATTCCTTCCTTTCCCCAGGCCCAGTTCTTACATTCAGCCTTGTCCCTGGAGATCTCAGCCCTACTTTCTACCTTCTGAGGGAGACTCTTGGCCCCAGCAGAGAGATCTCCAAGGCCATCTCCCACCCATCTGCAGCACTGTTAGCCTGTGTCAACAGAACCCATTCCCTCTGGACTTGGCATTTTGCCTTTGGAAAGAGAGGTGTCGCTGTGCTTTAGGGACATAAAGTGCCATTTGGACCTGCTGTAAAGAGGCTGAGCACATTTATTCAGGTACGGAGGTAGCTGATGAGGTCTGACCCAGTGAGGCGCTCAGGGTTTCCACTCGATGACTTAGATGGCGATCTGTGCTGCCCGCTGTAAGGCCTCGACCCCATGAGCCTTGCTGTAAGAGTCCTCCAGAACATGGGAAGTGTGTGTGTGAGGCAGCAGGAACTTGCAGCCCTTGGAGGCCTCTGCCAGCACGGTGAGAGCCTTGGTGGTGGTCAGGTGCACCCTATTCATGGGTGATACAGCAGTTCCAGGATCGGGTTGATGGCTTGTGCATCCAGCATCGCGTACGTCCCTGCAAGCCACCAACATGAGGCATTTCTAATAGCCCAGGGGGCCTTTTCCCACCCCTTTTGCACCTGCCTCTTTTGACCCTCCTGGCTGTGCAATTACAAGGGGAGCTGCCAGCCTGTCCCCCACAATGCCATCACCCCAATGCTCTTGCAACTTTGCTGAGTCCAGCCTGGGCCCAGCCCCTTCATTATCTTCCTTTCCAGCCCCAATTGGCTCCTTCCCATTGACCTTGTTCCTATCCCACAGGCCAGTCCCAACAAAGCGACACAAATGATCTTTTAAAAATATAAACCTGGCTGTGTTCAGTGGCTCACACCTGTAGTTCCAGCACTTTGGGAGATGGAGGTGAGAGTATTGCTTGAGCCCAGGAGTTCAAGAGCAGCCTGGGCAACCTAGTAAGATCTCTTCTCTACAAACAATTAAAAAATAGCCAGGTGAGGTGACAGGCAGCTATAGTCTCAGGTATTCAGGAGGCTGAGAAGGGAGGATCCCTTGAGCCCAGGAGTTTGAGGCCACAGTGAATTATGATTGTGCCACTGCAGTTCAGCCTGGACCACACAGTGAGACCCCATCTCAAAAAAAAAAAAAAAAAAAAAAGGAAACTCAATAGATTGTTTATGTGGCCAGTATTTCTTGAGCACCAAGTCTGTACCAGGTACAAAAATACACATGCCTCTCAGGAGACGCCCTCCTCACCCCTTCACTGCCCTTTCCTCCTGCCCTCACTAGCCCCACCCTCCTGCAGTGCCCGCTGAATTCTTTCCTTTGCTGGCAGGACCTTTACTAGGCCTGAGCCCTGCAACTCCAGTTGACACTGTGGACTGTGGGTGAGAGAGAAGACACTGTGCCTCAGTTACCTCACCTGTAATAGGAGACATCACCTTCCTAGAGGGCTGTCTAAATGTTAGGTTTGCAGACAATGTCTGGCACGTCAGAGGCACTTAGTGTCAACTGGGTGTCATGATCGTCACCAGTGCTGCTTCTGTGCTCACCTTTCTCATGGAGAGGGGACTTAACCATGTCCTGTTTCCTCCTGGAGGTAGGGGCCAGTGGGTCCGGGATGGGATCCTGGAGCTTCCTCCTTCCCCTACAGCTTCCACACCAGCAAGGGGATCAGACCTTTGCTGATGATGCCATAGGCCCTGCAGGAGAGGAAAGGGTGCTGAGGGAGGGCCAGCCACACACCCACGCATGCCGGTTTGTCTTCAGGTCCCGTGGAGGGTTTTCAGAGCAGGTGGTGGCTTTGACAAGAGGACTCACAAGTGTCCCTCGGCTCCCCAGCCAGAGACCTGAGCAGCCAGCAGGAGGCTGCCAGTGACAGTCGTGTCAGAGGCTGAGAAACGAGGGGCAGGGGAACTGGGAAGGACCAGCTTTTGGTCACCAGTGCCTCAGAAGACATCTACCGTAGCAGGTGTACAGTGGCCTGAGAGGCAGCAGTCACCCCTGGGAAAGTCAGCAACTCATTTTTCTGGGGCCCCAGGCACATGAGGAGATTCTCCATTCTTCCCTACACTACCCCAGGGTGTGGGAGCCAGCCAAGCCTCATTCCCACCCAAAGTATTTCAAAGCCACTGGGCACCCCAGACTGGTCTGGCCAGCCCTGGGGAAGGGCTTGGAGTCAGCTCTGAGGTAGACCTAACGTGTAGGCTAGTGTCTTACACACCAAAAAGAGCTGTGTCACTAAAGGTGACGGGAAGCCATAGGCTCTGGCCAAGGGGTCTTGAAGGGACCTGGGATCCCATGGGAAAGGGGAGCTCCATATGGCACAGCTCAGGTGCAGGTACTGGGAGGGGCACAGTGAGGCAAGGCTCCTTCATAAACAGGCCCCACCTTGTTCCTCCCAGCTGGAGCTGCAAGCCTGGGGGGAAAGAGGCCAGCCCAGCCTGCAGAGCCTGTGGGGCAGTAAAGGGCGAGATATTCCAGGAAATGTGGGAGTCCTGCGGGGAGATAAGCCAGAGGGGTGAGGAGGAAGCTTATCCCCTATAGGGGCCTGGGTAGACACTGGCTTTAATTAAGGAGTTGATATTTTGCCCACCATGGATTTGATTTGAATTATTTTTATTTTCAATAGCATATTACAAATAGTATTTATCTTGATTCCTGAGATTTCTGGCTCCCCTTAAATTAGGCACCAAGGTCACTGCCTCGCCTGCCTCTCCCTAGTGCTCCATGTAGGACAGAAACTAAGGCAGGGGCAGGAAGTCCCCAGTGGCTGTTGGCTACTGTCCCTGCAGGGTGCCCAGGTCTCCTCCTCCCTCTTTCTCTCCTCCTTTTCCCACTTATGTGTCACTGTTAAGGTCCCTAGGTCACTAGACCTTAGCCGATTCCTCCAGGGAGTCCAAGCCCTCATAGAGTGCAGGTGCCTCTGAGGGAAAGGCCTGGGGAAGCATCTGTGGGGCACCATGGTGCAGGCCACCTCTCTGTGTGACCCCAGCCCTCACTCTCTGTGTGTGGCAGGAGGTCCCTGGATGAAGCATCGAACATCAGCGACAATTTGTGACCATCTGGGACCCAACAGCCCATGTATCACTGGTGCACTTGATACCCCACAGATGGTAATCATTTTAGACACAGAATAGGCAGATTCTGCTGTGATCCCCATTGTGCAGATGACAATAGAGGCCAGGGAAAGGAGGCGGCCTGCCTAAGGTCACTCAGCTCATACTTAGACTGAAGGCTGCTGGCCCTGGCTGATGCCTGTCACCCAAAAAGTCACCTGGTCACCAGGAAACAACCAAGTCAGGCTACTGGCTCACAATGCCCTGCCCCACAGCCCCACCCAATGGCTCACAGTGCCCATCCCTGTGGTCACCTGTTTCCTCCTGGAGGTAGGGGCCAGTGGGTCCAGGATGGGATCCTGGAGCTTCCTCCTTCCCCTACAGCTTCCACACCAGCAAGGGGATCAGAACTTTGCTGATGATGCCATAGGCCCTGCAGGAGAGGAAAGGGTGTGACTGCCTTATTCCCCCACTCTGTGTTCTTGTAGCTCCTGTTTAAAACCCAGAGGAGTGTACACTTGGCAGTGAGGAGGAGGAGGTGGCCTCTGACATGGTAACATACATCTCTTTGTCTGGAAATTTTTTCTTCTGGGGATTCTAGACTATAAAGTGAATATGATTTTTGACTGCCATCATAAATTAGGCCTCGGGGGTCTTGGACTCTAGCGACTGGTCACAGGAGATTACAACCAACTGAGGCCTGATGGATGATATCCATGAAAAGAGGACATCACCTACAAACTGGTCATGAGCACATTTCTCAGTAGCAGCGTTTTCTTCTTGAAAAAATAATTTTGTATTTCCTAGAGAACATAGACACCTGTGAAATTTTCCAAACGCACTGCATTATCTGCAAGCATACTGTATGTGTCATCTGGGGCCAGAGACTTGATCACTGTTGTACATTTGGTTTTCTCGTTGTTGTTTTGAAACAGAGACTTTCTCTGTCACCCGGCTACAGTGCAGTGGTGTGATCTCAGATCACTGTAACCTCCACGTACTGGGTTCAAGCAATTCTCCTGCCTCAGTCTCCCGAGTAGCTGGGATTACAGGCTCACACCACCACCATGCCGGGTTTCTTGTAGTTTTCAGTAGATGCAGGGTTTCACCATGTTGGTCGCCAGGATGGTCTCAGTCTCTTGACCTCATGATCTGCCCGCCTTGGCCTCCTAACGTGCTGGGATTACATGCGTGAGCCACACCGTGCCCTGCCTGGCATCTGGTTTTCTAATGTCACCAAGTGAATACAAGACCTGTGCCAACAGGACTCAGCATGATATAATCCTCATGGGGTTTCCTTTTCTTTTATTGCAGGAGAAGCCTGCGGCCCAGTATCACCGCTGTACTTTTTCTTTTAAACAGTTACTGAGACGTAGTTGACATGCAAACCAATTCACCCATTTAAAGTAGGTGATTCAGTGTTGTTACTGTATTGACAGGGTTGTGCAACCATTGTTAGAATCTAATTTTAGAAGCTCTTGGTTCCCTCTCAGAACACCCCCTTAGTAGTGACTCCTCTGTTTTCCCCAACCCCACACCCCTGGTTCTAGGCAGCCCTAATCTACCTCCTGTTCCTATAGTACACTGCCTTTCTGTGTTAACCGGTTCTTCAAATAACGATTTCACATTGATGAGGTTGCCCTAGCTAGGAAGCCAAGGCTCTTTCATTCCTTTCTGCCCCTCTGCTTTTCCTTCCTTCCGCACCAAGGAGAATGGTCCAGCAGCAGCTCAGTCCGTGCTAGTCAAACGCCCAGCTCCACACACTCCAGCCTGGTCCACATTTCCCAAAGCTCCTTGTGAGATTCCTCAGCAGCACCAATGTGCTGACTGTCACTCTGTGTTCTCTTAGGTCCTGTTGAGGTCCTACAGGACCTCATCATAGAAGACATTGAAGATTACGAGATGCCCCCTGACGTGGTAAGGTGCATTTCTTCGTCTCAAAGAGCAATGCTTTTTTCTGGGGCCTCTGGAATATCAAGTGAGTATCAGACCTCAGTTGTCATGGACTCTAGCGACCAGTCAGTGGAGTTTCTGACCAACTGAGGCCTGATTGACGATGTCAGTCAAAAGATGGCATAACTTACAATCTGGTCGTGGGCATATTTCTCAGTATCAGCATTTCCTTCTTGAAAAATGTATTTCCCAGCCAGCATAGACACTTGCTAAATATTCCAAACCCACTGCATTTTCTGCAAGAATCCCCTGTGCTCCATTTGGGGCCCTTGACTTCCTCACTGTTTGATATCTGGTTTTTTTTTTTGTTTAGTTTTGTTTTTGAGACAGAGTCTCTCTGTCATCAGGCTACAGTGCAGTGGTGTCATCTCAGATCACTGCAGCGTCTACCTACTGCCTTCAAGCGATTGTCCTGCCTCAGCCCCCTGAGTAGCTGGGATTACAGGCACGTGCCACCACGCCTGGCTAATTTTGTATTTTTAGTAGAGTTGGGGTTTCTCCATGTCTCTACTAAGAACATTTACAAGCAATGATTCAGGCCGGTCTTGAACTCCTAACCTCAGGTGATCCGCCTGCCTTGACCTCTTAAAGTGCTGGTATTACAGGTGTGAGCCACCACACCCAGCTGTATATGTGTAGCTTTTTAAGAAACTGCTTGACCTTTTCCCAAAATAGTGATCCAATATTACACTCATGCCAGCAACGTGTAATAAAAGTTCATTTGCTCTACATCCTTCCCGTCATTTGATGTTAATCATCATTTTAATTTTAGCCATTCTGGTGGGTGTGCAGTGATATCTCATTGTGGCTTTGATTTGTATTTCCTTGACGGCTAATGATTTTGAGTAATTTTTCCATGTGCTTATTGTTCATTTACTGTATTACTTTCTTTTTAAAGTTTTTATTTTAATATTTTTAATTAAAAGGAAGTATAAACATGATGACCTCTGGGTAGGGAAGGACTGATCAAGCAAGTTACATAAGGCATTTACATAAAGGAAATGTTTAATAAATTCAACTATGTTAAAATAAAGAACTTCTGTTTAGAAGAGAGTGAAAAATTGGAAAAGGTTGGGACAGACGTGGCGCTGAGAGGAAATCAAATAGCTAATAAGTATATGAAAAGATGTTCAACCTCATTGGGGAAATGCAAATTAAACCCACAATGAAATAACATACCCATCAAATTGGCAGACATTTAAAAGACTGACAGTAGTTTCAGGAACTGCTCAACATTAGGTAGAAGCGTAAATTAGTTCAACCACTAGGGAAACCAGTGTCATTACAGGTAGAGTTGAACATGTGAGCCTGTGACACAGCAGCTTCTCTCCTAGAAACTGTCTTTACTGGAAACATGTTTGAAGATTTTCAGAGCAGATTAATTTTAATTCCAAACTTTCCTGTAAAACCCAAATGTCCATTAACAACATGACGGATAAACAAGTTATGACATGTTCAAAGAAAGGAATACTTTACAGCGGTGAAAAAGATGAATGAATTACAGCTCTAGGTATTAACTTGGATAAATCTCAGAAACAATGTGGAGAGAAAGAAGAAGCCATCAAAACATTTATAAGCTATGATTCTTTTCATTTAAACATTAATAGTATGGGAGTGGTGGCTCACACCTGTAATCCCAGCACTTTGGGAGACTAAGGCAGAAGGATTACGTGCTATGTTGTCCAGGCCAGGAGTTTGAGATGAGCCTGGACAACATAGCAAGACCCCATCTTTAACAACAAAAAAAGAGATTAATAGCTAAACAATATATAGTAATGTACACATAGGTGTCAACAGAACGTAAAATCAGTTTAAGCAATTAAAGTTTATTTTAAGGACTTAAATGTTTAACTGGTTAATTTGAGTGCCTAATATAGAAGCTTTAGAAGGATAGTAGGCCCTGCTCTCAGGGAACAATTAGTCCTTTCTGGAAAGGTGGGGTAGGTGTCTGACCTGGAAGTGATGATGGGACCTTGAGGGATGGATCATGGAGGCAGGAGCTTGGTCTGGATTGGTCATAAGGTACAGAAAGAGGAAAGGAGGGAGAGGTTTGACCTGCGCTTAAAAGACTGGGAGATATTCTCACTCATAGGTGGGTGATGAAAAATGAGAACACATGGACACAGAAAGGGGAGTACTAAACACTGGGGTCTATTGGGGGGGGAAAGGGGAGGGCCAGTGGGAGGGGGAGGTGGGGAGGGATAGCCTGGGGAGAAAAGCCAAATGTGGGTGAAGGGGAGAAGAAAAGAAAGCACACTGCCATGTGTGTACCTATGCAACTGTCTTGCATGCTCTGCTCATGTACCCCAAAACCTATAATCCAATAAAAAATTAAAAAAAAAAAAAAAAAAGACTGGGAGGATGTGGATAAGTGGAAAATATATCTCTGGATAAGGGAAGGGTGTGGGGCTTGGGTACATGCTCCAATTATGAGGAGCCTGACCAGGGATAGGAGGGAAGGTCTAAAAGCCATGTTGAGTTTGAAGTCCATCCTGTAACCCTTAGAGAACTCCCAAAGACATTTCATTTTCAGAAGGGTAGTCAAAGGATAAACATATTTCATGAAGATTAGGTTTCAGGCAAAAATTACAATAGGAGGGGTAAGGGAAAGCTAGAGGTGGGGCATTATCCAGGACCTATTGACCAGGTATGACTACCTTAGTGCAGTGGTTTGGGAAAGGAAGGAATAAGGGAAGGAAAAACTGACAGACTAGTGGCAGAGTGGATTCAGGGAGTGAAGGGGTGGAGAGTGGAGGGTGACTCAGAGGTTGGGGTTTACCAGCTTAGAAGGACGGTGATAACACACCACAATTTGTACAGTGCTTTATGGTTTACCGAAAGCTATTTTTATACAGCATCGCATTTGACGTTCCCCAGACCATGGGGAGGTAGAAAGGAGGGATTTTATTTTCCCTGTTTAAGGCCTACAGAAGCAGAAATTCAGAGACTGAATGACTTGTTCAAGTTTGTGGTGACCACTTACAGAAACCGGTTCATTGTAATAGAGTAAGTCAGAGGAAAGAGAAGTTAAGGAGTTTTTAAAAAACCTTTGTCTTTTGGTTCTGGGTTTATCTTACAAAAATAAACTTTTACTTTTTCTGATTGTAAAAATCATATTTATAAGTCAGAGGAAAGAGAAGTTAAGGAGTTTTTAAAAAACCTTTGTCTTTTGGTTCTGGGTTCATCTTAGAAAAATAAACTTTTACTTTTCCTGATTGTAAAAGTCATATTCATTGTAGAAATCTTGAAAAATATAGAAAACAACAAGGATCACTTAAATTGTACAGTCATTCAAATTGCGCATTCAGGAGATAATGTCTCCTAAAATGGTGGTGTGTTTTTTTCCATCCATGTAGATTGCTTTAAATAACTAATTTGTATTTTTTATTTCGGCTGGGCGCAGTGACTCATACCTTTAAATCCCAGCACTTTGGGGAGGACAAGATGGGAGAATCACTTGAGACTGGGAGTTTGAGACCAGCTTGGGAAACATAGCAACACCCCCATTCTCTATCAAATAAAGGAATAAATATATTAGCTGGGCATGAGGCACAGGCCTTTAATCCCAGCTACTTAGGAGCCTGAGGCAGGAGGATTGCTTGAGGCCGGGAGTTTGAGGTTGCAGTGAGCTATGATTATACCACTGTTCTCCAACCTGGGGACAGAGTGAGACCCAGACTCTTAAAAAGCAAAAGTATTATTTTTTTTAAAATTTTTTTTAAGTGGTTAATGCATATTTTATGTGTTTAAAATGGAGACCTCTATTGTGTTTATTTGTTCTGGCTCTGAGTTCAAGTCCTGGATATCATTATCAATTTGTTGTCTCGTTGAATCTAAATCTCATTATGTGTCTTATGTATCTGGGTGTTAAGATCTCTTATTGTTGCATTAATCCTTTTACCCTTGCATCCTTGTAGCTTTGAAATCTATTTTATTAAGTGTGAGAATTGCAACTCCTGCTTTTTATTTATTTATTTTTGCTCTCCATTTGGTTGGTGAGTTTTTTTCCATCCCCTTGTTTTGAGTCTTTGTATATCTTTAGATATATCATTAGATTTTGTGGATAATGTATATTTTGTGTGTTTAAAATGGAGAGCTCTATTGAGTTTATTTGTTTGGATCTTAGTTCCAGTCCCGGATATCGTTATCAATTTTCTGTCTCGTTGAATCTAAATCTCATTATGGGTCTTATGTATCTGGGTGTTAAGATCTCTTATTATTACATTAATCCTTTTACCCTTGTATCCTAGTAGCTTTGAAATCTATTTTGTCAAATGTGAAAATTGCAACTCCTGCTTTTTATTTATTTATTTTTGCTCTCCATTTGGTTGGTACGTTTTTTTTTTTTCCAACCCTTTATTTTGAGTCTATGTATATCTTTGGATATACCGTTAGATTTTGTCTGTATCTTTTGATTGGGAGATTTGGTCGATTTAAATTTAGGGTTGCTGCTGTTTGATATTAACTGGCTATTTGTCCTTTCGTTGATAAAAATTCTTCTTTATGTTAATGTTCTTTACTTTTTGGTGTATTTTTAGAAAGGGTCATACTGGTTGTTCCTTTCTGTGTATATGCTTCTTTTAGAAGTTCTTGTAAAGCAGGCCTGGTGGTAATAAAATCTCTGAGTACTTGCTTGTTCCTAAAAGATTTTATTTTTCCTTCAAATGTAAAGCTTAAATTGGCAGGATATGAAATTCTGGGCTGAAAGTTCTGTTGATTAAGTATATTGAATATTGGCCCCCACTCTCTTCTAGCTTGTAGGGTTCCCGTTGAGACATCTGCTGTAAGCCTAATAGGCTTACCTTTATGGGTAACTTGATCTTTCTCTCTGGCTGCCCTTAATATTTTCTCCTTCGTTTCGATCTTGGTGAATCTAACGATTATGTGCCTTGGGGTTGGTCTTCTTGAGGAATATCTTTGTGGTGTTCTCTGTATTGCCTGGGGTTGAATAGTGTCCTGCTTTGCTAAATTAGGAAAATTTTCCTGGATAATGTCCTGGAGAGTATTTTCCAGCTTGAATTCATTCTCTCCGTCACATTCAGGTACACCAATCAAGCGTATATTAGGTCTTTTCACATAGTCCCATATTGCTTGGAGACTTTGCTCATTCCTTTTTATCCTTTTTTCTCTATTCTTGTCTTGTCGTTTTGTTTCATTAAGTTGGTCTTCGACCTCTGATACCCTTTCTTCTGCTTGATCCATTCAGCTCTTTAAGCTTGTACATACTTCACTAAGTTCTCGTGTTGTATTTTTCAACTCCATAAGTTCATTTGTATTCCTCTCTATATTGTCTATTCTTTTCAACATTTCATCGAACCTTTTTTCCAAGTTCTTAGTTTCTTTACATTGGGTTAGAACAAGTTCCTTTAACTCCCAGAAGTTTCTTATCATCCACCTTTTAAAGCCTACTTCAGATAATGGAACACAGTCCTTTTCCATCAGGGCTTGTTCCGTTACTGATGAGTCCTTTTCCATCAGGGCTTGTTTGGTTGCTGATGAGTCCTTTTCCATCAGGGCTTGTTCCGTTGCTGATGGGTTCTGATTTTGAGTATACTCGGCCTTCTTAGTCTGTTTTTTTCCCTTCATTGTAGATGACCCGCCTTTCTAATTAGGTTTCTGAGTCGACGTCCGACTTATTGATTCCCAGTATTGGGATCCGAGCAACCCACTGTGGCGGCCTAAATAGCAGCGATAAGACTGATGGTGCTCTTCTGCCCGGGAATCTCTGGTCTGGCTTCCCTCTTGAGTCCGCAACAAGCGGCTCTGACTTCCCGGAGCTCCAGACTCTGGTCAGTAGGGGAGGCAGTCCCGTTGGCTCTGCATTAAGAGCCGCTGCGCCGAGATGCCGGCAAAACCGCTGCGGCGGCCACAAGAGTCGCGCTGGCGACCTGTGGGGCTCCTCCACTAGGAATCGGCTGATCGGTGAGTGACGAAAATTCGTCTAAAACTGTGGTGTCGTCTCCTTCTCTGGGCTTTCACTGGGAGCTACAATCCTGAGCTGTTAGTGGTCGGCCATCTTGGATCCATGCAAAAATATTTTTAAAGCAGTTTTCTGTTTTAGTTCTAGTAAACATTTAGCTATTATTTATTTAAATGTCATTTTCTTAAATTTTCTCATTTCTCCTCTTCAGCTCCCTCTAAAAGATAGATTGAGACACATCTTGATCTGTCCTCCGAGTCTCTTCACTTTTCTTTTATTTCCCCTCTCTGTGCCGTCTTCTGGAAGCATTTTTAAACTCAGTCTTTTAAGTCACAAATTTATTCCTTAAGGTCTGCTCAGCTCTTTAGCCCACTGAGTTTTTAAATTTGAGTTTTTGCCCTCAATCTGTGGTTTGCTGTTTTTCATGACTGCTTATTCATGTTTTATGGTTGCAGCATACTCCGTTATCTTTTTGAGGATATAAATTATACTCACTTTAAAGTCCTATTCTGATTGCTGTTTATTAAAAATAGTCTTTATTGAATTATAAATGCAGTCAGCAAGGTGTACAAAATCCCTAAGTGTATACAGCGTGATGAATTTTCCTCATGCTCCCAGGTAATCACCACCCAAATCAAGACAGAACATTTCCTGCATTCCAGAAGGCTGCCTTAGGGGTCTTCACTGTTTTTTGGTATTTTTAACATTTTTACAGCAATCTTGAAGGATTTTCACAGGGTGCCCCTGTATATCCAATGCCTGTATTTTATATTAGCATTTTAGTGTACCTGCTTTATCACGTATATCCATATTTTCATTCTTCTACCTGTCATTCTCCTTTCTCTTTGATACATTTTAAAGTCATTGTAAATGTTAGTATACTTCCCCTTACATACTTCGGCATGAGTTTGATATTTGTTTAGTTTTTTTCCTTTTGAGGCCGCATTTACATACAATGAAATGCACAAATATTTAGTGTATATTTGCTGAGTTTTGACCAATGTATACCTCTATGTAATCCAAACCTCTGTGAAGCTATAGAACATGGTTTTCACCCCGGAAAGCTTCATCATGCTCCTTATTGGAGAATCTCTTCTTGCAACCACCCTTCTGATTTTTTTTTCTGCACCATGGATTAGTTTTGCCTGTTCTAGAACTTAATGTAAGTGGAGTTATACAGTATGTATTTTTTTTTCTTTCTTTCTTTTTTTTGAGGCAGGGTCCCCCTGTGTTGCCCGGCTGGAGTGCAGTGCTGTGGTCATAGTTCCTGCAGCCTTGACTTCCCTGGCTCAGGTGACTCTCCCATCTCAACCTCCCGAGTAGCTGGGACTACAGGTACTCAGGATCTCACTGTGTTGCCCAGGCTGGTCTCAAATTCCTGGGCTCAAGCAATCCTCCTGCCTCGGCTTCTGAAAGTGTTGGGATTATAGGTATGAGCCACTGTGCCCAGTGTATATACTCTGTCCCCTGAACTTGTCCATGAAGCCTAGCTTGGCACCGCCAACACTCTGCACAGCAATCATGATTCCCACTCAGACCACTCTGGGGCCAGGGCTGGGTTGCTCTTACCTGTTGATAAATAGGAAAAGTTTCCCTTCCCCATCAAGAACACAAGGCACCACCTCTCAACTGTCTTCTCTCTACTTCTCCCCACTCGCTTTCTCTCAGCCCTGGTTTCTTTCCATCCAAACCTGATGTTTTCTGGAGTAGAAGGCCCTCCAGTTGAAGCTGGTCCCTGGGCAGGGAGGGGCTCTCAGGAAGGAGTGGCCAGGCAGCAGTTACATCACTTGACAGACGTTCAAAGCAATATAATCACTCCCATTTCCCTTGATGATGTCCCACCCCACCACGCGTAGCTTGGGCAATGGAAAATGAGGAATGCTGGGACTTTGATATTTTTGAACTGGAGGCTGCCACCCACAATAGGTGAGTTCATGCAGAGCTCAGCAGCGGGAGAACTGGATTCCCAGGGCCTGTGTGAGGAGGCTACCTAAGGATTGTGGATTGTGCACAGAGCTGGTCCCTGGGCAGAGAGGGGCTCTCAGGAAGGAGTGGCCAGGCAGCAGATAGCTCTGGGTCACCAGGGCCTGGGGGAGAGTCTGCTGGCCACAGTAATGGCACGTTCATGGAAAGCATGCAACTATGCCAGTGACTTCTCCAAGTAGCACAGGACTTTTTTCTGTGAAATAAAAGTATTTCTCCTGTAGGTGGTAATACGTAAGAGATGTGCTCAGAGCCGAGAACCAAAATTTATTAGAAACCCACATACAGATGTGGTAAGAGCTGCCCCCAGATCCTGATTGCTGTGTTGCGGATAGGCATAGGGACATGGGAAGAGCAAAATGATAATCCAAAGTGGCTCCCGGAAGAAAAAATTAGTACAAGAAAATAAAGTTCTAGCCAAACTAGTTAAGATATATCAAGACGGGGTCCAAAGTGGCTCCCGCCGGAGGTCATGGAGCTTGCGAAAGGCGAGGTCATCAGTTCAAGGCTAACCTGAGCAACCTCATAAGCTCAAACTGATTGGCAAAAAAAAAAAAAAAAAAAAAAAAAAAAGGATATATAAAGACACAAAAATGTACACATTTAAAGTAGGAAATAGTAGAAGGAAGTACTGCACACATAGGTACTATATCAAAAGCTTTAAAATAGTTTTTAATGGAATGTTTTAAGTTAAATTGATGTAAGGAAAAAAACAGGTCATTAACATGGAAGTAATTTTAGTAATTTTTAAATTACTGACTTTCTTCAAAAGTTGGCTCCTGACCCAGATAGACAGGCAAATTCTTTAGCCCTTTAAGGTATTTTTCCATGTTACATAAATCCTTCTAGAGCTTTGAAAAAGATGGAAAACTTCCAGATCATTTTGTCAAACTCACAAAACTCTGACATCAACCTGACAAAGGCAGCACTAAAGGGGGAAGAAAACTAGACCAATTCCCAGTTAATGTTAAGTGGTGCCTATTTTAAATTGTATTTGAAATTATTTCTTATCTTTATTAATATTAGTTTATATTGGTCTCAGTCAATATCTCAGACAAAGGACTTTTTTTGTGACGGGTCTAGAGAAAGACTGGCTGAGGAGGTGACTCCTATCTGTTGAAAACATCTGTATTTTGGTAAGTCCTTAACTTGTGTGAGACAAACATTTGCAGAAATGTAACTGTTTTAGTGTGGGGAGATAGGAAAACTAGATTTGCTCAGGCAGTCTGCTTTTCTTAGAAATCTGAAACATTGTTACCTTAAAGTAATAGGGGAGAAAGAGAACTATACAGAAGGCTTCCTTGCCTTCACTGAAAAAGAGAAGCTTTTAAAAATTTGAGTTAGGACATTGAAGGCAAGGAAGCCTTTTGCATAGTTTTTAAAAGCTCTCTTTTTCAGGAAACATTCAGTCCAGTTAATGAGGTCACTGCACTCATTGCAGCCACCATTCATGATGTGGATCATCGCTCCTCCCTGTGTGATGCTGGAGTTGGCCATTTTATATAATGATATCGCTGTGCTACGGAGCCACCATGCGGCCTTGGCCTTCCAGGTGACCATTGGAGATTGTAAATGCGATATATTTAAAAACATAGAGAGGTAAGAACAATGACTGAGGATTCTGTTGACACCTCTTTGTCTTTTTCTTTTATACAGCTATATTGAGATATAATTCACATGTTACACAGTTGGCCCATTTAAAGTGTACAGTGCGCCAGACATAGTGTTAGGTATTTCCACTTTAGGGCCTCCGTGTGTACGTCAACGTCTGCAGGGGTCTAAGGCCAAGTTCATCATCTGTGTTCCCAGCACTGCTCCCACCCAGGGTTATCTGCCTAATCTAGGGTTCTGTCATCCAACCAGAAACCCAGGCTAGAAACTGAGTCATCCTTGGTTCAGGGTTCTGTCATCCAACCAGAAACCAAGGCTAGAAACTGAGTCATCCTTGGTTCAGGGTTCTGTCATCCAACCAGAAACCCAGGCTAGAAACTGAGTCATCCTTGGTTCTTTCTGCTCCTCAGCCTCTGACATTGGCTGCAGCTACAAGATTCCATTTATCTCCTTTCTGCTCCCACTCCCAGAGGAGAATCTGCCACTCCACGCCCCCCATCCTGGCTCCTCCTGAATGTCAAAATTATTACCGTAACTCTTAATTCTTTTCCCCACCGACCATCTCCTTTTGAGGACATGGACCATACCTTACCATTTTCACCTCCCTAATGCCTAGCTTAGGGCATCACACATGGTGGGTGCCCAGTAAAGGTTTCTTGAATGGAATGAAAGAGGGAAGAATGAAGGAACAAATACCCCGAAGTTCCCAGCCCAGGCTCATCAGGTGGCCACGTGGATATTACTCAACATGCAGCTCAGAGGAAGGAGAGACACTTCCGGCTCCATGTGGTTGAGAAGAGGAGAAATGTGTAGGTGTGAACACTTGGAGAGGGTGCAGTGTCATGTCTCATGAAAGGACCAGGTGTCATGGCTATTCCAGAGACGGAAGGCAGAGCAGTTGTGCTGACGCAGCACATTCGTGGGAAACAGCAAGAGATGAAAGGCACGGTGCTGAAAGCTGACTGGACCTATCCTTGAATGCCGGGAAGTTCTTTGTCTCCCAGGCGCTGAAGGATGTTGAGCAGGGGAGCCACAGAATCAAAGTTTCTGATTTAGTAGAACTTTGGCTTGTGCACAGGAAGGTGCAGGTTTTTGGTGAAGCAGATGTGTATTTATTGAGCTTTGATACACATGCTGCTTCTAGCACATGCCAGGCAGAGTACTGATCACAGAGGAAAGACAGGAAAAACTGTCCCCGCCCCCAGGTCATTCACGTTAGCAAGGAAGGAAAGCCAGCAGAGCACTGCTGGGGTGGTGTGGAGAGGCTGTTTTAGGGGAGGTTTCCGAAAAGGTATGATACCCGAACTGCATCTTCAAAGAAGATATAGGGTAAGCGGGTGGGGAAGGTGGCATGGGCGAGGCACATTCCCAAGTAAGTGTTGGGTGCCAAGTCACAGAAGTTTGGGAGGCAAACTGACAAATCATCAGTAGTTCAAGGTGGCTGGAGAGAGGGGGACAGACCTTATGAGACTCTGGGTGCCACACTGAGGAGTCTGAATCTTACCCTAAAAACAAGGATGAGCTGTTGAAGTGTTTTGATTGGGAGAGATCTGGTTGGATTTTTGTTTTAGAACAATTGCTTAGCTTTCTGCAGAGAATACATTGAAGTGGGTAAGGTTGGTGTTTTGGAACCGATCAGGGAGGCTATCGTTATAATCCAGAGAGGATGACAAGTGTCTGAGCTCAAACAGGGATAGAGCAGGGGATGGACTCGAGGTGTTTGGGAGGTAGAATTTTTAGATTTGGCTGACCCAATGGAAGGAGAGGAGAAGGGAGGGGGAGAAGTGATGGATGACTTCTGTCTACCTTATGGTAGATGCTGTTCCGTGACCTGGGTTAAAGAACAGATTTGGAAAAAGAAAAAGAGCTAGTGGTGGATAATCAATTCATCTGCAGTTCCTGAGGAGTATCCAAATGAGGTGGTAAGTGGTTAGTTAAGTCTGGAGCTCAGGACAGAGACCTGGGGTAAGATGGCAACATGGGAATTAATTAGATCTATAGGAAGGAATGAGATCTCCCGAGGAGGTTTTGTTGAGAAACTGAGAAGGGCTAAGGATAGAACCTTTGGAAAACCACCTTTGGAAAACCAGGGATGCCGAGGAAGAGGAAATCATGGAAGAAAGTAGAAAGGAATGGTAAGAGATGGAAGGCAAACCACGAGAATGTGGACTCTGCAAATAGGAGCGTCCAGAAAGGGATCAGTTGTGTCTAGTACCACAGTCAAGTCAGGTCAGGCAAGGATTGAGTTGTAGCCTTCAGACTTAGCAAAACATTCATTGAAATCGGTTCAAGCAATATAATGACTCCCATCTCGCTCGATGATGTCCCACCCCACCACAGGTAGCTCGGGCAATGGAAAATGAGGAATGCTGGGACTTGGATATTTTTCAACTGGAGGCTGCCACCCGCAATAGGTGAGGAGTTCACGCAGAGCTCAGCAGCGGGAGATCTAGATTTCCAGGGCCTGTGTGAGGAGGCTACCTAAGGATTGTGGATTGTGCACAGAGCTGGTCCCTGGACAGGGAGGGGCTCTCAGTGAGGAGTGGCCGGGCAGCAGATGGCTCTGGGTCACCAGGGCCTGGGGGAGAGGCCTTTGATGTATCTTGACAGAAAATCTTTGCTCGCTTTGGAATCCGTAAGGGGAGAAAGAAAATGCCGTGACCCAGTTTTTTAAAGCTCTCTTTTTCAGGAAACGTTGAGTCCAGTTGAGGAGGTCACTGCACTCATTGCAGCCACCATTCATGACATGGATCATCGCTCCTCCCTGTGTGGTGCTGGAGTTGGCCATTTTATATAATGATATCGCTGTGCTGTGGAGCCACCATGCGGCCTTGGCCTTCCAGGTGACCATTGGAGATTGTTCTTACCTTTCTATGTTTTTAAATATATTGCTACAATGATTGAGGATTCTGTTGACACCTCTTTGTCTTTTTTATACAGCTATATTGAGATATAATTCACATGTTACACAGTTGGCCCATTTAAAGTGTACAGTGGGCCAGACATAGTGTTAGGTATTTCCACTTTAGGGCCTCCGTGTGTACGTCAACGTCTGCAGGGGTCTAAGGCCAAGTTCATCATCTGTGTTCCCAGCACTGCTCCCACCCAGGGTTATCTGCCTAATCCAGGGTTCTGTCATCCAACCAGAAACCCAGGCTAGAAACTGAGACATCCTTGGTTCTTTCTGCTCCTCAGCCTCTGACATTGGCTGCAGCTACAAGATTCCATTTATCTCCTTTCTGCTCCCACTCCCAGAGGAGAATCTGCCACTCCACGCCCCCCATCCTGGCTCCTCCTGAATGTCAAAATTATTACCGTAACTCTTAATTCTTTTCCCCACCGACCATCTCCTTTTGAGGACATGGACCATACCTTACCATTTTCACCTCCCTAATGCCTAGCTTAGGGCATCACACATAGTGGGTGCCCAGTAAAGGTTTCTTGAATGGAATGAAAGAGGGAAGAATGAAGGAACAAATACCCCGAAGTTCCCAGCCCAGGCTCATCAGGTGGCCACGTGGATATTACTCAACATGCAGCTCAGAGGAAGGAGAGACACTTCCGGCTCCATGTGGTTGAGAAGAGGAGAAATGTGTAGGTGTGAACACTTGGAGAGGGTGCAGTGTCATGTCTCATGAAAGGACCAGGTGTCATGGCTATTCCAGAGACGGAAGGCAGAGCAGTTGTGCTGACGCAGCACATTCGTGGGAAACAGCAAGAGATGAAAGGCGGGGTGCTGAAAGCTGCCTGGACCTATCCTTGAATGCCGGGAAGTTCTTTGTCTCCCAGGCGCTGAAGGATGTTGAGCAGGGGAGCCACAGAATCAAAGTTTCTGATTTAGTAGAACTTTGGCTTGTGCACAGGAAGGTGCAGGTTTTTGGTGAAGCAGATGTGTATTTATTGAGCTTTGATACACATGCTGCTTCTAGCACATGCCAGGCAGAGTACTGATCACAGAGGAAAGACAGGAAAAACTGTCCCCGCCCCCAGGTCATTCACGTTAGCAAGGAAGGAAAGCCAGCAGAGCACTGCTGGGGTGGTGTGGAGACGCTGTTTTAGGGGAGGTTTCCCAAAAGGTATGATACCCGAACTGCATCTTCAAAGAAGATATAAGGTAAGCGGGTGGGGAAGGTGGCATGGGCGAGGAACATTCCCAAGTACGTGTTGGGTGCCAAGTCACAGAAGTTTGGGAGGCAAACTGACAAATCATCAGTAGTTCAAGGTGGCTGGAGAGAGGGGGACAGACCTCATGAGACTCTGGGTGCCACACTGAGGAGTCTGAATCTTACCCTAAAAACAAGGATGAGCTGTTGAAGTGTTTTGATTGAGAGAGATCTGGTTGGATTTTTGTTTTAGAACAATTGCTTAGCTTTCTGCAGAGAATACATTGAAGTGGGTAAGGTTGGTGTTTTGGAACCGATCGGGGAGGCTATCGTTATAATCCAGAGAGGATGACAAGTGTCTGAGCTCAAACAGGGATAGAGCAGGGGATGGACTCGAGGTGTTTGGGAGGTAGAATTTTTAGATTTGGCTGACCCAATGGAAGGAGAGGAGAAGGGAGGGGGAGAAGTGATGGATGACTTCTGTCTACCTTATGGTAGATGCTGTTCCGTGACCTGGGTTAAAGAACAGATTTGGAAAAAGAAAAAGAGCTAGTGGTGGATAATCAATTCATCTGCAGTTCCTGAGGAGTATCCAAATGAGGTGGTAAGTGGTTAGTTAAGTCTGGAGCTCAGGACAGAGACCTGGGGTAAGATGGCAACATGGGAATTAATTAGAGCTATAGGAAGGAATGAGATCTCCCAAGGAGGTTTTGTTGAGAAACTGAGAAGGGCTAAGGATAGAACCTTTGGAAAACCACCTTTGGAAAACCAGGGATGCCGAGGAAGAGGAAATCATGGAAGAAAGTAGAAAGGAATGGTAAGAGATGGAAGGCAAACCACGAGAATGTGGACTCTGCAAATAGGAGCGTCCAGAAAGGGATCAGTTGTGTCTAGTACCACAGTCAAGTCAGGTCAGGCAAGGATTGAGTTGTAGCCTTCAGACTTAGCAAAACATTCATTGAAATGGGTTCAAGCAATATAATGACTCCCATCTCGCTCGATGATGTCCCACCCCACCACGGGTAGCTTGGGCAATGGAAAATGAGGAATGCTGGGACTTGGATATTTTTCAACTGGAGGCTGCCACCCGCAATAGGTGAGGAGTTCACGCAGAGCTCAGCAGCGGGAGATCTAGATTTCCAGGGCCTGTGTGAGGAGGCTACCTAAGGATTGTGGATTGTGCACAGAGCTGGTCCCTGGACAGGGAGGGGCTCTCAGTGAGGAGTGGCCGGGCAGCAGATGGCTCTGGGTCACCAGGGCCTGGGGGAGAGGCCTTTGATGTATCTTGACAGAAAATCTTTGCTCGCTTTGGAATCCGTAAGGGGAGAAAGAAAATGCCGTGACCCAGTTTTTAAAAGCTCTCTTTTTCAGGAAACGTTGAGTCCAGTTGATGAGGTCACTGCACTCATTGCAGCCACCATTCATGACGTGGATCATCGCTCCTCCCTGTGTGGTGCTGGAGTTGGCCATTTTATATAATGATATCGCTGTGCTGTGGAGCCACCATGCGGCCTTGGCCTTCCAGGTGACCATTGGAGATTGTTCTTACCTCTCTATGTTTTTAAATATATTGCTACAATGATTGAGGATTCTGTTGACACCTCTTTGTCTTTTTTATACAGCTATATTGAGATATAATTCACATGTTACACAGTTGGCCCATTTAAAGTGTACAGTGCGCCAGACATAGTGTTAGGTATTTCCACTTTAGGGCCTCCGTGTGTACGTCAAAGTCTGCAGGGGTCTAAGGCCAAGTTCATCATCTGTGTTTCCAGCACTGCTCCCACCCAGGGTTATCTGCGTAATCCAGGGTTCTGTCATCCAACCAGAAACCAAGGCTAGAAACTGAGACATCCTTGGTTCAGGGTTCTGTCATCCAACCAGAAACCCAGGCTAGAAACTGAGTCATCCTTGGTTCTTTCTGCTCCTCAGCCCCTGTCATCTGGTTTATCATCTGACCTTGCCTCATCGCAGGCTAGACTTCTAACTCCATTTTACTTCTGCAACTCATTTGTTTGGCCATGGCCTTTGTCTCCCCCATGGCTTTCTGGCATATTACCCCTTGACATTTCTTTCAGTTTAAGCTGATGTTGAGAACTGTGTTCCTTCACCCTTTCCTGTTCTCTCACTTTGTCTGCCTGCTTCTGACTTCACTCTCTTTCCAAAGACTTTCAACACAGAGGTGCCTGTACCAGCCTCTTTTATTGGCTCATGCCCTGCCATTCTGGATAGGGCCATGTGTCACCCAGCCACCACTCCTGGCTGACCCCATGCCACAGAAGAAAATAACAGGCCTCAGAGACTTGGTTTTCTCCATCTAGTCTGGACAGCCCCGAGACTTAGCTGAGTTTTCTGCTCCACCTAACATTATGGTTCTCATCTCTGTTGTCAGTACGTGGGGTTACTTCTGAGAGACTGAAAATCAATATCCAGTGGGTCAGAGCAGGAGAAAGGAAGACGATAGACAATAGTTTTCAGGCCGGCAGTACTAACGTTTGTGAAGTGTATTTCTTGCTGTTTTTTTGCAGTCAAAAAAGGCCAAGTAACATTAGTCTGGACAAACTCATTGCCGCGAGGCCCAGCCTGCTCTGCGGGAGCCGGAAAGACCACGCCTGTGTGGGGAAAAGTCAGAACTGAGGCTCTGGCCCTGTGTTGGCCCTGTGGACCTGACAGCGCTTTTTGGCCCCAACCAGATTTAGGTGCGCACCTTATTGGGCCCTGAGTGGGAAGGGCTGTTGCAGGAAACCTCCTTTAGAGGCCCCTAGGTGTATTCTGGTTGTCTAACCACATGGCTCTCCACTGCTCTGGGGCCTCAAGTGAGCTGCTCAGTCGTGCGAAGCCCTGCAGAACTTGGGAGAACTGGATAGCGCTGACATAGGATGGGAAAGCAGCAATTGGTCAGCAAATGTCAGCGGTCTTCTGGGATGTGATGCTGTTTCAGGAGCATTTGCCCGTGCTACAGCATGAAATCTAAGTGCCTGTGGAAGACTGGGAGGGGTCAGGCTTGGGGACCTGCTTGCTGAAGGATCGTTTGGGAAAGCACAGCAGTCTGGGGAGAGGCAAGCCCGGGTAGATGCCTCAAAGCCATCACCTCCGATAGCACAAGCTCTTTGCTTGTTAGGGAAAGAGAGAAGAGTGCCAGGCTTTTATCATTCATTGCCAGAATGCTCCACCAATCACTGAGGATTGGACAGCAGCATGCAGAATGCTGAGAGAGGAGACAGAATATGAATGTGCACACACAGGATGCTCCCGGTGCTGCCGGGTGGCGGCGGCGTTGGCCACCAGGGTGCGCTGCTGGGGCCATTCCTGAGTTGAGGTGGTAGGGGTGCTACACAGGGAGATGGCATTTATTTATTTATTGCTAAGAAGTTACAGAGTATCTAGCACACTGCCTTGACCATACTACATGCTTAAGTTAGGGGGGTGAATTTCCTAAAGAGTTCAGAATAATCTGTGCTTGTTAATCAGTGTGGAATCCGGGGACAGTGCTGTTCAAAGGTCTGTTCCTGCGGTGTGGGCAGCGTGCAGAAACAACTGAAACTGGGATTTTCCTGTTAAAGGAAAGCGCCAGCTTTTAAAGCATTCATTATTCTTTGCTTCTTTGGAAATCTCTTTCATTTCCCCACTGATGGTCAGCCCTCCCCCTTTCCCTCCCCTGTTTCCTCATCCTCTTCCCTCTCCCTTCCCTCCCCCATCCCCTGTCCCCTCATCTTCCTCCCTCATCCCCTGTCCCCTCATCCTCCTCCCTCTCCTTCCCAGGACTGCCTACACTTCTCTGCCCTTCAATACACCGCAAAGAGGGGAGGAAAATTAACTGGGCAAAGGAAAGTTATGGATTCTGACTAGGCTACTTCTCAGACCTGGGACTTATCTGCTTTGAATTTCAGCTTACATGTTGCCATTTGGGAATAACAAGAAATGATCCCAATTCAGGGATTCACTCATGAGCTCATATTCGAGAGCAAAGGCCATCTGTTCCCTGCTCTTGTCATTGCCGTAATCTCTTAGCACACCCTTAGCAGCAGTGACTGCCCAGTAGCGACCATTTCCAAGCAGTTGAGGGCATGGGCTAGGAGGGTATCGCCAATGACTGTTTCTGCATGCACCTGCTGAACACTCGTTTATTGGCTGGCACTGTGCCTGGGTGACGGGCTCTAGGAAGACTTGAGACCAGAAACTTTGGCCTCTATGAGGCTCTAATCTTGTCATGGGAAGCATGGAAACAGAGACACGGAATACAGCACAGGGATGGCTAGGGTGAGATTGAGTGAAACTATCTAAATGGGTCTTCACCGCTATTCGTTGCCTCCAGATGGGCTGCATCTTGGAGCTTCAACTTCTTTCTGTGTTAATGGGGAAGAAACAGAATCCCTTGGAAGCTCCTTTCCCATCATTCAATTTTCACAGGGTGGACTGAGTCACATTATTCTTCACAGACAAATTCTCCTTCTGAGAAGGCTGGTTAGTGCATAGCTGGAGAAATAAAACAACTCAGAAACCCCACTGGCTTTTTTAAACAAATTGTACTGTATGAAAATTGGAGACAAACATGTCTGCCATCTCTCACTTAGGCAGCAGGAAGTTAGGGTGACCTACCCAACAAGCATTCCTAACCCACAGTTTGTGGTTCTCAGATTTGGCACTCATGTGCCCAGGACACTGCTGGAAACTCACAGGACTGCCTAAATGTTTGAATTCCCTAAACACAGAATTAAAAGTGTTCAAAGTGGTGGCAGTGACATCTTCAGATCCCTGTGTTGATTTGTTTGGCCCTAACTATGTATTAACAGAGCTACTTGTTATTTCTTTGAGGTTAGGGGCTTTTCCAAGCATTACTGAGATCCCAAGGGCATCCTGAATGGGGAAATGTGTGGCAGGCTTTTTGGAGCCCAGTGCACCATCACCTCCTCCACCGCTGGATGGCCACTCGGAAGCAACAGACATCTCTTTTATACACCTACGCCTTGGTCTAGTCATTGGTCAGCTCTTTGAACTTGGCAGTTGCTGATTTGTTTCTTTACAAAAAATGCAAGTTCATCACGAATTTGACCTTGATTCACAGTGCCCACCGTTCAGCACCAGAAGCCACCAGCACGCCTGCCTTTGCGGTAAGAGAGAGGTGGTTAGCTCAAAGGCTGTGAGTTTTCAACACAGGGCAGGCCTCCAAACTGACGCCCAGGCTGGCAGGATTTGCCTCTAGAGCCAATAGTGGGCGGCGGCGTCTTCTCCTTCGTGACTTGGTCCTCTTCTTCCTGGCAGGCCTCCCGCGCAGAATCTCTGCTTATCTTCCCCCCCTCAGCTATCCCCTATGGGCCCTGATAGGGCCGAGGCTGCCTCTGCACCCTCCCAGGTCTGTGTGCTCTTCTGCCTGGGGGCTTCACTGCTTGACTGTTGGTCTCAACTGCCATTAGAATGTTCAGTCCTAAAGATTGATTGGTGCCCAGGTTCTGTAGCCAGGTAGACCAAGAGGCTTGCAAGGCTGTCGGGTTTCAGGTCTTTCTGAGGGGACCCAGCACGTGGTATATGAGAAATGCACAATGAATATGTGATGGATCAACCTTATCGGTTAATCCCCAGTGAGAGCCTCAGGGCAGCCACAGCTGCGTGTGAGAGTCCTCGGTCCCTGCCTTCTCATTTCCCAGAGTTCCCTCTGCCTTAACTGAAAAAAAAAAAAAAAACGATCAACCTTACAGGTTAATTCCCAGTGAGAGCCTCAGGGCAGCCACAGCTGCGTGTGAGAGTCTTCGGTCCCTGCCTTCTCATTTCCCAGAGTTCTCGCTGCCTTAACTGAAAAAAAAAAAAAAAACAAAACGATCAACCTTACAGGTTAATTCCCAGTGAGATGCTCAGGGCAGCCACAGCTGCGTGTGAGAGTCCTCGGTCCCTGCCTTCTCATTTCCCAGAATTCCCTCTGCCTTAACTGAAAAAAAAAAAAAAAAAATGATTGGAGACCCCAGGCAGGCCCAGCAGAGGGAGTCTGTGGTCGGGGGGTGGGAGGGGGAGCGGGACACCGGTCCTCCTGCCGGTGCTTCTCTTTCCTGCTGCTCTTGCTCATTCTTGGCCAAGGCTCTCGTCCTTCCGGGCAGGTGGCTGAGTGTGTGCAGCCTACACAGACGGGGCAGGGCTGTGTAGGGATTTAATCAATGGTTTTACCTTTGCCTGGCAACAGGGAAGGGAGACTGATCTCTCCAAGGCTGAGGGGCACACCTCGCCCTCTCACTCTGGGGGTCTGGTCTCTGGCACCCCTGGCCTTGCCTCACAGGGGATGGTGGGGGGGATGGGAGGGGAGCTGGAGGAAAGCCTGCCCTGACCCTTGACACCCCTAGGCCCCCGGTGTTCCTGACTCTCCTGTATCAGCTCTTGAGGACATTTTAACAGGAGAAAAAAGCCCTGGTTTTTAGCTCAACAGAAGAATACGCTGGTCAGGCAGGAGCTCACTGGAGATGAGCCTGTGGTCTAAAGCCTTTTAAGAACGGAGGTTCAGGGCCGGGCGCAGTGGCTCACACCTGTAATCCCAGCACTTTGGGAGGCCGAGGTGGGTGGATCACGATGTCAAGAGATGGAGACCATCCTGGCCAACATGGTGAAACCCCGTCTCTACTAAAAATGCAAAGATTAGTTGGGTGTGGTGACATGCGCCCATAGCCCCAGCTACTCAGGAGGCTGAGGCAGGAGAATTGTTTGAACCTGGGAGGCGGAGGTGGAGGTTGCATTGAGCTGAGATCGTGCCACTGCTTTCTAGCCTGAAGACAGAGTGAGACTTTGTCAAAAAAAGAAAAAAAGAAAGAAAAAAAAAGAACGGAGGTTCAGGACCCAGGGCCCCTTTGGCGCTCTGCTTGCCAAGCCTCCCATGGTAGGTTCAGGCAGGCTCGGAGGGATCTCTTGCCAGAAGATCCCCGGACCCCTCTCCTGGTGGACGAAGGACTTGCAGATCAACTCTGCACTGCTGGGAAGGGAAGTGGAGCCTGGTCTGGGCTCCTTGCTGGGTTTGGCTGAGCCACAGGCAGAAGGACACATGGAGGCAGCCCTGGGCACTGGGTGTCTGGGGCCTCTGCTGTTAAATGGGTAAAGGAACCTCTGTGAACAGTTCTCACTGGGCCTGCTGTGTTTTAAGATATAAGAAATAGCTCCACTGCCGGGACCAACATTCTGCTGGCTCCTGTTAGACGGTAGCAGGCCAGGTCTTGTGCTAGGAGCAGGGCCTATAGGGATTTACTATCCACGACAGCTGCCCTAGAGGGGCCGAGAGCTGACTTGGAGGAAAGCACACATGTGTTAGGCATCTCCGTGCAAGAGTGCTCTGCTCTGGCAGTGACCGGATCACAGAGGAGGGGTCCCCATCCAGGGCTCGTGTCCCTGAGAAGGTTTTAGAGCAGGGAGGGCCTGAGCTGAACCCTGATGAAGAAAGGGCTTAAGTCACACCAGGAGTGGGATATGGGGGAATCCAGGAGTGGAGTGGGTATGGGGACCCTGGCTTGGGGAAGGCACTGAGGTGTGACAGGGCAGGGGTGAGGACTCTGGGGGAATTAAGTGTTGAGGAAACAAGCAGAGGGTGGGGTTGGAGAGGGAATGAGTGGAGGCGTGACAGGCTTGCTCTGCATGGATTTTATTCTGTTAACTTTCTGGGGAGGACAGCCAGAGGGCCAGATGGGCACCTGAGGCTTCTCTCCCAGCGTTCTGGACCCCGGTACCACCTATGTGGGAGAGCAGGCTTTTTGGCAGTCAGCAAGGGTGTGAGCAGGTAGGGGCTGATCCAGGCGATGATCTGAGAATGGAAGTCCTGCCCAACCTGGGGAGGGGGGGAATTCTCTCCGCAGCCCAGCTTACGCCCTTGAAGAATGAAGAATTCCCCAGTAAGTCCTCCTGTGTCTTTCCTGCTATACTTTGGTCTCGAGGCAGCCCTCCGCCCTCCAAAGATGAGCTGCCCTCTGTTGACACTGGGTCTTAAGTCCTTCATGCCTAGGAATTCAAGGATAAAATCGTCCTTTGCTCCACCAGGGGCTGGCAGGAGGGCAAGTATCCACAGCTGGGGAAGGCACCTTAGGCCAAGCCCAACTAGTCTCGGGGATCACCACGGCAGCCTACATCAGCTGTGTGCTCAGCCAGCCTTCTCCCATCGTTCTCACCACACCTGGCCCAACACCTCAGGCTCTCCCAGAGCGACCCCAGAGGGTTGGCTCCACCCCCTCCAGCCCCAGCATTGGGGAGAAAGGGTGGTGGTCAGCACAGCAGTGACTATCCTTTCACCTGGCCCCACATATGTACTAGGGTCCCATCCAGAAGAGCTGTTCCCCGCAGCCCACTCCCACCTCACTCCACCTGTGTCTGCCCTGCGTCTCATCCTGACCTGACTCCCAGCACAGGCACCCTGGCCCAGCAGGCAGGGATCGTGCGGGGCTTCCAGTTGCACATGCACAGGGGCCTCTAGAGAATGCCTGCATCACTCCAGCCTCATTCAGTGCTTCATTCCAGCCTCACCCTTTCTCCAGCACCATTTGGGCAAAATGAGACCATGTATTGACTGACATGCAGAAATATTTAGGGAGGCCAGAGGACCTCTAACATTCAAGGAAAAATTGGGAATGTTGAACCACAGAAAAACCCACTTAAAGAATTTTTGACATCTCTGATCGTCCCAGCAGAATGTGATCTTTCCTGCTTTGCTCTGCGGGAGCACCTGCTTTGTATCACCACGAGCTCTACACTAATTACACTCAGAGTCTCTCACTCCCGGCACTGTTGACATTTCAGGTGGAATAATTCTGTGTTGTTGCGGGGGCTGTCCTGTGCATATCTAGCAGCGTCCCTGGTCTCTACCCACCAGATGCCAGTAGCATCATTTCCATCACAGTTGTGACAATGATCATTGCATTTAGACACTGCGAAATGGGGGAGAAGGGGAGATGAAATCAATCCTGGTTAAGATCCACTGCCTTGAGACACAACAAAAAAATAAAATGTCGGGCCAATATCCCTGATGAACATTAATGTGAAAATCCTCAATAAAATGCTGGCAAACTGAATCCAGAAGCAAATCAAAAAGCTCATTCACCATGATGAGGTCGGTGTCGTCCCTAAGATGCAAGGCTGGTTCAACATATGCAAATCAATCAATGTAATCCATCACATAGACAGAACCAATGACAAAAACCACAGGATTATCTCAAAAGATGCAGAAAAGGCCTTCAATAACACTCAGCACCCCTTCATGCTGAAAACTCTTAATAAACTAGGTATTGATGGAACGTATCTCAAAATAAGAGCTATTTATGACAAACCCACAGCCAACATCATACTGAATGGGCAAAAGCTGGAAGCATTTCCTTTGAAAACCGGCACAACACAAGGATGCCCTCTCTCACCACTCCTATTCAACATAGTATTGCAAGTTCTGGCCAGGGCAAGCTGGCAGGAGAAAGAAATAAAGGGTATTCAAACAGGAAGAGAGGAAGTCACATTGTCTCTGTTTGCAGATGACATGGTTGTATATAGAAAACCTCATCGTCTCAACCCAAAATCTCCTTAAGCTGATAAGCAACTTCAGCAAAGCCTCAGGATACAAAATCAATGTGTAGAAATCCCAAGCATTCCTATACACCAATAACAGACAAACCAAGAGCCAAATCATGAGTGAACTCTCATTCACAGTCGCTACAAAAAGAATTCAATACCTAGGAATACAACTGACGAGGGATGTGAAGGACCTCTTCAAAAAGAACTACAAACCACTGCTCAAGGAAA